TCAAGAATCTTGGTTGAATGGTTTACAGGATGACTGCCTTGTATCACTACGTGATTTTAAAATTTATCGTCAGGATCGATCGAACAATAAAAAGAGGTGTGGTGGCGGTGTAGCTACGTTTGTAAACATAAACTGGTGTCGATCTTCGTTTGTGTGTTTTAAGTTTTCAAATCACTTTATCGACTGTCTAACTCTAAGATGTCGTCCAAAACATCTAAATAAATACAAATATGTTTATGTTACCAATATCTACGTTACTCCAGATTGCACATCATCTGCACTATCTGATTTTTCTGATGAATTCACTGAGTTCGCTCTTACTGCCTTCAGTGATTCACTTTCAGTCGTATGTGGTGACTTCAATTCATGTGACTGTAGCTTCCTTACGTCACTGGGTCACCAAAATGTAGTGGATTTTCCTACCCGTTTGGATGCCTATCTAGACTTCGTCTTCATTAATGATGTGGGTATATATGCGACTCGTAAACGTGCTCCATTGTCTAGCTCAGATCACTGTATAATTCGTGTTCTACCTAAAGTATATGGAAAGCATGAGAAGAGTACACTCTTACGTCAAACCAAGAAAGTCAAATATAGGAATTACTCAGAAGAAAATATCCGAAATCTGAAAAGCATGTTTCATACGACAAACTGGGAATTATTTACAGATGACTCACTCGAAAACACTACTGATGTTATCACTTGTTACCTTAAATTCTGTTTTGATATTTGCTGTCCCACTGAAACCATTTTTGTAAGTTTTGATCGATTTACATCTACACAACTAAAACGACTACGAAGGATGAAAGAAAGAATGTACAAGGAGAAGAACTCTAATGAAGTTCGTAAGCTAAATGGTCTGATAAAGCTAGAGATCAGACGTCTCAACTGCATGTTTACTCAAAAGCTCTTATCTTGCAGAAACACTCCAAGTATGTGGAAACTCTTTAAAGAACTTACAGGCGACAGACAGTTTAGAAGCGATAACCAGCTGAATGTTAGTGACTTAAATAAGTCTTTTGTTCGTCAGTCATCTGATGTGATGCTCCCTCTATCCACGGGTTTAAAAAGTAGCTGTGTTCCTACTTTCACTGAAACTGATGTACGAGGATGTCTCCGATCGCTTAATTCATCTCGATGTTTGGGACCTGATGGTATCCCAAACATCCTTTTTAAAAAATGTGCTGACGTTCTGTGTCATCCGTTCACAACTATATTTAACAAATCCTTCTCATCTAATCTCATACCGAAAATGTGGAGAAAGATGAAGATAATTCCTGTACCCAAGAAAGCATCTGGTGATAAGAATGTAAAATTTAGACCTATTGCAATAACTTCACCCTTCCTCAAAACCATGGAAAAATTATTAATACTTCCACTTCAGCTTGCGATAAAAGAGCATACTGACCCATACCAGTTTGCATACAGGCGCAAAAGAAGCACTTTAGATGCTGTTGCAGTTCTGCACCACAACATAGTGTTCAACTTAGAAAAGGGTAAGAAGTATGTTCGTTGTGCTTTTCTGGACTATACTTCAGCTTTTGACTCTATACCAAGACAACGTTTACTTAACAAGTTAATCAGCGTCAACACTGACAGCTGGATAACCAACTGGCTATGTTCCTACCTCTCTGGAAGGGAACAGTACACTGTGTTTGGAGGAAAGTGTTCGGAGTTTCTACTGTCTCAGGAAGGTGTACCACAAGGAGCTGTTCTTTCACCTCTTCTATTCTCTTTTTTTCTGCATGACCTGCCATCTTCTACAGAAAACACTTTTGTGAAGTATGCGGATGATCTCACTGTATGTATGCCTATATCTTCCTCTTTACATCCCGTAGAAATGAATGAGCTTTTGTCTCATATTGATTGTTGGTCAGTTGGTAATGGTCTCATACTTAATCCGTCTAAATGTCAAGCTGTTAACTTTAGCATGAGACATGAACGGAATATAAACACCATTTTGAGATCCCATAATGCTTGTGCCATCGGAGACTCTTTCATAAACTCAGTGTCGAAGGTCAATTATCTTGGTGTCACCTTTTCCTCTGATCTGTATTGGTCTTCCCACGTTTTATCGTTATCGAAGAAGGTTTTCCGTCTGACCTACTACGTAAAGAGATTGCATGCTCTTGGGATTACTCGTCATTTACTCTTACAATTTGTCAATTCTTGCATTTTACCTATTATTCTTTACTGTTCTCCATTATTCTTTCCCGGGCTTTTGAGAAAAGACTTTGCTGTATTGCGAAGAGTGCTGAAGGCAGTTAGCAAGATGTGTGGTGAATCTTTCGAGGCCATAATTAATATGGTTGTGGATAGACATTTAAAATCATGCAAACTCCTGGCAGGTGTTATTTTATCAGATACTAGCCATCCCCTTCACTCTTATCTTTCTCCTTGTATATCTTCTGGTAGAACGAGACGTAATTACATTAAAATCCATGCACGTAAGGAAAAGTATAAAAGTTCTATAATTCCTTACCTAGCAAATATACTATGTGACGAACAGGTTGTTAGAAATAACCTAGTTAATAACTTACATTCTTAACATGTCTTTAATTTTAAAAAGTTTGCACAGTTTTTTTTGGTCTTTTTTTAAAATTTCTTTTAAAAAAAAATTTTTTTTTTTTTAAAAAAATTTCTTTTTGTATTTTCTACTGCCTATTTGTTCGTTTTTTTTTCAGTAAGTAACTTGTTGAAATACCCTGTGCTGAGAATTCTATATTGTACCAAAAATATAATATTGAATAAAGCCATTAATAATAATAATAATAATAATAATAATAATAATAATAATTAATGGCTGTATGTATGTGGAGAGCTGACTCTCCCTCCCCACCCTCTGTCGTACCAGTGCACTATCCAATAAATGCATTAATTAGCAAATGCATTCTATTTTTAGAAAATGATCGTAATTTCATCAATACATGTTGTAAAACTTTGTATAATTCAGATTTAGTCAGTTAGGTATAATCAACATAGAGCCGGATACAGATGTACACTATCCGAAGGTGTTTTATCACAATGATACGGTGATATGAAGTTAACAACATAAATATTAAAGGAGTTAAAATAGTGTAAAAGATTGAACACTAAAAATAAAGAAACGAAGAGACAGAGTGGAGATGCGTGTAGAAAGGACTACTTTAACTCAATATCTAGGGGGTGATAAACAATAAATGCATTTGAACTATTATGAACAGTTCTGAACAATTTCATTCAAAATCTTCAGTTAACTATCATAGTTATCTCGCTAAACTTGTTCAGGTAGTTTGCATCAACCAGAAGGCTTAGGTCAAAAACGTCATGGATTTATGCTATCTTAGTTTGGCTACTCCTTAAATTTTTCCAACCTATTTCTATTGCAGCAAACATTGTCTATATCACTTGCAGTTTAAGTTTCGTTTCAACACGACTTACATGTTATAAATACATTTTAATGAACTGATATTAATACTAGTTTCCATTTATCTCACATCTTTCAAGTTCCCATAGTATATCAGAATTACGAGTAGAAATTAACAAGGCCCATAGTAATAGATCAATTAAATTAATAGTAGTAGCGATGACAATATATCAATATTAAGGGTCTTTTTACAAAACCAAGAGAGTTTTCCGAGAAACAAAACTTTTTAACGTTTTCGTATCTTCTTATTTACTCCCTTGACAATTAGTTCAGTGTCATAAAACGTCGGAAATCTAATTTCTTACTTACTGGAATTCTACTGATAAGTCGTGGGTTCAAATCTCGCGAGGAGGGATTATGGATGAGTACTACTGAGGAGTCCAATAATAGGACGAAACGGCCGTTCAGTGCTTCCAGATTTTCCATGGTGGTCTACCTTTAATTAACTCATAATCTCAACTATTAAAATGACTATAATATTCACAAAACCCCTTCTGATACTAAATATATTTTTATATTTATTGTTTGACTCTGTATTAGCAGGAGATAAAAACATAATCTATATTTGTTACTGTTACGAATTTTAAAGCATATTACTAACAAACATGGATTGCACTTTCTGATTAATAGTCTGATTTAATAGACGGATGCGAATTCCAGATTTCCGCATCCTTATCTTTACACCAAATCAACTTTATACTAGCCTACTTTTCACGTTGATTTGGGAAGTGAATATACGAAACGCATGTTTGAATTTTTAAGTTGACGAGAGTATACAGCCTTATAATCTCTACTTGGTAATGTCCGCTTAACCTTAATAATACGTAGTCTCACATTTCGTGGGACGTAAACAGTGGCCAAATGTACGTATCCTAAACTTAATTTCATGTTTAAACTTCGTGTTTCACAACCATAAAGTAACATGAATTGAACTTTTCTGCAAAGTACTCGCCCATTGATAGAAAGATGAACAAACTTCCCTGTTTACAAGCTGAAATCCAATTGACCAATTGGTAAATACGGTGTCAGCAAAGTTATTTATAAATCTTGATGAGTCATACAAAATTATCATAATTATAATCAATCATACGAAGTTGCCAGAAAACATATATCATAAAATGATATTCCTAGTGTAAGGCCAGTGAAATATTACTGAGACATAGCAAAATAATCCGGCAGTTAGGTCACTGAATATCGAACAGATCATCGATCCCCGTCTAGGTCAAGGACAACCAACGCGCATCAGGTAATCGTATTTCATAGATTGACGCATGTGGTGGTGGTCTCGCTTTACTCTCTGTACTCATTCTTACTAATATATTTCTATAATAACGTCCTTCGTGTTATACGGTCTTCAAAGTAGCCATAGTACTTTGATACGTCGAAGGTGTAATCCACGTTAGATGCTGACTGTGAACTGTGACTTCGAAGTTAGCTGCTTTGTCAAACCATTCCCGTCTAACTCGAGTAGACCTCTAATCATTCGACATAGATCATCTATTTGTTTATCTACACTAGAAACAGATAATTAATCTGATATATTATAAGACTACTACCAAATTTCATAAGTAGCTTAAAAGATTTAACAAAAAAACAGCAAACGAAATTTTTTGTTTATTCAAAAATAGCCAATTCATGGTAAATAATCACAAGTATAGAAATGAATGGAAACTATAGGAATTCAAGAAATAATTATATAAAAAACAACCAAATATTTTTAAAAAAAAAGAACAAAATTGTGATCAGCTGAAAAAGAATAAATCAACTTGATTAATATAAAAAAAATAGTTACTCAATATACAAATACATAACTGTTTGTAAACAATAAGTATTCTAATGTAAATAGATGTTTATTATTGTTATTATTTCACTTCAATAGATTCAAATGAATCATGATTTAAAAAAATAAAATAAAAATACTACACCAAAATCATCCTTCTAAGCTACAAATCTTTTCCACTGTCTCAAGAAAACAATCAGACAAATAGGGATACAAACAAACATGTCATCATTGGTTACAATGAATGTATTCAACAACAATCTTTCATCATTTGAATAATCACTAAGTGAAGAAGAAGAAGAATAATCATAATAACTAAGTAATATTGTATTTGTAACGGGATTTATGTACATGTAACTAGGTCATTAGAATATAACGAAAGAAAGAAAGAATTACAGAAAAGAAAATTTATTTAAAAAAAAACTTTCCAAATTTCAAATGATTAAATTTTTCACAAAATTGAGAATAGTTTTGAAAAGACAAAAGAGAAAACTGGAAGACTAATCGTGATCATATTTGTCCTTCTCCTTCTTCTTCATCATCATCTTTCAAGAATCATTCTTTCACATTAATCATTCAAAATATAATTAGAATTGAATATAATTTGAAGAGAAACAATATGATTGAGAATGCTTTTAATAGATAATATTTAGTATGGAATTGGTTGATATTATTGATCATCATTGTGATTGGTTATAATATTTGGAAATTTTGGTTCACCATTACCAGTAGTCATTGAATTATTATTAGTAGTATTAGTATTTTTCTTGTAAGTTAATCGACCCCATGGTTGAATTTCACCGCTTGTCAACCATAAATTCATTAATGCACCAAACCATGCTATTCCTGCAGCTATACCGAAAACAATCATCCAATTTTGAATGCTTGACTATGGTAGAGAGAGAAGAAAGAAGAAGAAGAAGAAGAAGAAGAAGACGAGCGAACAATAATGGAAAATGTATAATAAACGATCAATCAAATAAACTTTTACAATCCTTAACAACGGAGTGATTAAAGCATTGATGATCAACAAGTGAAGTATAAAAATCGATAAGAGATCAAATAACTTTACGCTGATATTATACATTGATATCATTTTGGAAATTACTAAAAATTCAATGGAACTGGATATCATTTTAGTTCTAATTAGGGAGTTTTTAGAAGTGTTTGCCTGAGGAATTCTAATGGATCGTAAAAGATACTTATACGAGTGCGTTACCATTTAGATTGTCGAGTCATAATTCATATATCTAACTGTAGTAAGTTCGTGTTATTCTTTAGTTTCGATATAAATTTTCAAATTTCTACTAGATGGAAATATCTAATCATTTTGAGAATGAAGCAGTTATTGACAAGTGACATGAATACAGTTATGATGTTATGTCATACATTAAGTGGAATGAAAGTTATGCGCTATTTTAGATCAAATCATTCCATGATATCATGTTCATTGTAAGACCTGATGTTAATTGTTTCGGTAATGGCATCAAGTCATGATGAGTGGAAGTTTCTGAGCAGCAATAGACTAATGAGAAACAATAATTCAATCTCCATTTATTTAATACTTCTATACATAGGGAAGCAAATATTACTTTTTCAACAGAAATTAGTCCTTTCATCAAGGATGAGGTAGCTTAAATGGTAATTAAACCTAAAGATGACATGTTAGTATATGCAATTACATTATCAGTCCCATTATTAATATTTTACTAATATTAAACTCTGACTGAAAACTGTACCAGTGTGAACTGATGATTACTCAAATTCATACTATAGTTATTGGTAATTCATCTGCAAGTGCAAGTTTGTATAGTTGGTTTGAAACTACACTTTACATGTGAATGTTAGTTATACTACCCAGTTTCCCGAACAGAAGTAGACGGAGCCGAGTTCGAACCTGAGACTGTGACTGAACAGTGAATGCCTTAACCACTGATTCACCACTATACTTTGGATTTCCAGTGTACACTATATCTGTTATGTACTGTGAGCTGTTACAGTTATTATCATTTTCCTAACTTTTGAACAATCAGTTAGATAGAAGGGAACGATCATGACTGTCAAAAGTCTAACAATAACAATATTTACAGTTAATGCATACTTTTCAAGTTTTAAAAATGACTACAGTAAGTATAGATGGTGATACTTGGTTAGATAAATAATTCTTTTACTCGATAACACTCTGAACTCGTTTTCTGCATAAATTTGATTTGTCCTTGTTAATTAATCCGATATCACTGTTATATAACAGGGAATGAAAATGATGTTAGTGATTACTACACTGTATTTTTTTAATAGTAATGATCGGGCCTTTACCTCTTATCTAAGTAAAATGAATCAAAAGTACAGTGGAGCTAAAATACACCTTAGTTTAAATAATGTGCTTTTAGTAAAATGACTGACTTATTAGTTTGAGATCACACAACCTGATACTTTACACAAGGAACTGGGTAGTACCATATTTAGACTATACGAATCATGTTTTTCTAAAATCTCGATACACAAGCCGGAACTAGGTTCAACATAAAAATAACAAATATTGAATTCTTTTTTTTAATAAAAAAGGGTGATAAATACACTTACACTATTTCTTGTTATATAACCGATTAATAGTGGACCAAAGATACCTGGTAGAGTAGCAGCAGTATTGGTTACTGAAATTATATTGCCTGAAAATCAATCGACATAATACTCATGTATATTACAGAAACGGCAAACTAAACAAGTTTCACTTTAACTACGCAAATCTTCATCATGTAAATATGGACAAATATCACGAGACTATAATTTATGGACGAACTTATGAAAACATGGGTATTAGGTCTTGGATTTTCATGCATCCATATAGTTAAATAACAATTCGGTATTATAACTGATGCCAGTTTCTGATGAAAATCCTCACTTTACTTCCTAACCTTAAATTATAACTCTAAATTCTAATCCCAATTCCTTACACTGATTTATTGGCCTCTTTTGACTTTAGTAATTAGGTGAGTTGTCTCAAGATCACTTTGACGTTGTTCAAAGGTCTTCCATAAATTATAATCTCACCATAAATATAATGGATTAATTGAAGGTTGTTTATAGAGAAAGAGTCTGAGTGTGTGTGTGTGTGTGTCCAAAGTCTTTTTGTAAAAAATTTGAGTGGATAATTTGATAGTTAACACTATGACAAAAATATGATTTCTCAAAACAATTTTATTTATTTTAGTAAAATCATTTAGTTATCATTTGATAATAGCAAACACTAGATGAAGCGCTACTGAAAACCACAAAGTACTAAATAGTTATTTCTTCCTAGTATGAGATTCATCAGCATTGACCCCACAGAGGGATCGAATCCAAAACCTTCAGATCGATCAGCGAGTGTTTTACATTTAGACCACGGAGTCGGTACACAATGGTTAAGATGTGCAACTTCCCTCGATTCGTGAAACAGCGCAGATATATTTTAATGCCATTTTTTAGTAACTAACAAACGATCAACATAATTGAACACTGGTTAATTTAGCTTAGTAGATCTCTGTAAATTCCCTCTGGAATTTAGTCACTAGTGCGCACAGGTTTATTATTAGAACAGAAGGCCTAAAGATATTGATGAATTTTGTAGTTTACATAATCATCTGCTCTTAATCAGACGACCACGGAAGACAACTGGAAAATAAATGGATCAGTAGAGAAGTCTTTTATACATCTAATTTATATTCCGTGATATTTCCATTTCATTCATCTATGTTTTATATACTTATTCCAATAAATAATTTATTTCTATCGAGTGTTATCAACTTTTTAGAATAACGTAATTTCAATCGATAGTTTAGTCAAATTGTAACTTGGTTGATGGAATTCGACAGACAATAATGAACTTGACAGCATGAGATTCATCACCAATACTCAGTGATTAATCAATTGTAAATGTTTCAGTCCGATAGGAGGTCAGTCACAGTCTGAATAACTCAGTGCTAACATCTCAGACTGTGAAATTTAGTGCTACTAGTTCGAATCCCGCAGGGCGCACCGATTCCTTCCAGACTGAAGGTATGCCTTGTTGATAAATCTAACTATCATGAATACCAGGTAGAAAAGGATATTCTGTAGGTTGTCTCCAATCATATAATATTTGACAAAGTGCACATAAAGTCAAGTTATTTCGATTAGTGATCACGTTACAACTTGCTTGATAGAATTTTATTAGTACTACAGAACTAGAAAAACAAGACATCATCCACTTTTCAGTTGTCCATTATATGAAATAATATAACATTGAAATGACCATACTGAACATAATATTACTTCGACAAACAATAAAAGAACTACTGTGATTGAATGTTGAAATTTTGTAATTATTTTTTTTTACTGAAACAGCTTTTTGATTTTTTTTATCAGATATCTGTTAACCTGAAGTAAAAGCTGTGCTTTTAGTCAACTGAAGATTATTTCATCTTTCTACACCTATAAACATATAAAACGCGAAGAAGATGTATAATACTATTATTATTATATTGAAAATTGTTAAGTGTGATCCCATATAGGGTCGTGCATGTATACTACTATGAAATCCCTGCTTAACTTGATCAATCCCTAGTTGTCGATGATTTTGTAACTAGTGATAGAAACTTCACCTTCCATAAATTTCCCAACATAACAAAAACAAATCACTAGTAATATTCATCACAGATTGATATTAGTTTGGGTACTAGTGAACACTGAAAAGCAATAGATGATAGTTGTTTCACTGAAGTTTGTAGGTTTCATCAGTAGTACACACACACACACACACGAACTCCCATGAAAATAAACTAACTAACAAAAGTCTCTCATTCTTAACAATTTAAACGAACGACAAGAATAAACTACCATTGTAAATTGGGGCTAAATCCAAAGCATTCGATCCATAACCAGCCAAAGAAAATCCCATTAAACCAATTGCAACAGAGAATAAAACAATAGCGGCCATCCGATTACATCCAACTAAACTGACACATATTAGACTTAAACCAAGGCCACCCAATGCTGGGTTGATCGAGACGAAAAGAAAATGAAAGCGGAAAGAAAAAGTTTAACATGATCATTCAATAAATCGTTTTTATAACAATGATTACTAAATTCGGAGAAAATGAAATATTGAGGTCACTGATTTACACCAAGTTACTTATCATTCTACTGAAAAAAGAAAAGAAAATTTATTTGAACCGCTTTAGATGTGACCAATTAGATAACTGTCACAAATTCATTTCGGACTCCTTCTCAGTTGTATACACGACTAAAATCCAGTCCTAAGTGGGACCAAATTAGATGTTATTGTAAGCATCATACCTATGGATCACAAAGTCAGAATCCAGTGAATCGCATTCAACTGACTATTTAGATCGAAGATCATTTAATCAATGAAGTGGATATTGTCCATAATGATAATGAAAACTCTATGATTAAACCATTTAGCTTATTTGTGAGTTACTGAACCTTACCCAGTCAAAGCAGGATTAACTTCACAGGTTTCGACAGCTCTGTTAGAAGGAACGTCAAAAGTAATTATCTGTGAATGAATGCCTCCTAACTAACCAGAAATAACCATCGGTAAATAAAGAATGATAGCTGAATCTTTTTTAATAATCTTTTAAAGAGTATAAAAATCTTATTAATTTGAATATTAACTGACAGTGGAACCAGGTAGGTACGTTTAGTTCCATTTTTGGAGCTGATCAACTGAATGTACTTGCATTCCGTTGTTGATGTTCAAACAGAAACAAATGTATGGCTTAAGGAGGAAGAATGTATTAGTAAAATCTCAGTGAATGAATTTGAAGTAAATCCAACGTTTCGCTCAGCAATCTGGCCCAAACCCTTTCAAGGAAATATAATCAAATATAGATAGGTATATGGTTCTTCGGTAAACTGCATACTAAATATGTCATCCAATCAATGCAATCAAAGGACATTGAATATGTGCCTAGACGGCTTCAAAATTAATGTATGTCAAATGATCCGATCAACGTGGGAGGTAGAAAACCAGGTTCATCGATAGCGAAACATATAATTGAAACGGGGCATAAAATTGACATTAATACAGCTTTTAGAACGTTGTACAGGAATTGTCAAGGATGAATTCTTAAGTTTATTGAAGCCTTGGCTATTCGTAAATTTAACCCCCCCTTATGTGTACAAAAACAATTTGTCGTAACTTTGAATTTACCTTGATAATCCTTAAGTCATTTTATGGCCTAGGATAAGGCGACAATTTCTTATTCTTTCTTTTTACTTGAACTTTCATTTAATTGACTTTTATTGATTGTCATATAAAATGCCCTGACGAGTATATGTGTGGCCAGATTGTTCGAAATGTATAGCGCAAATACATCACATTTTTCAGATCAACTTCGTCTTCTCATTGTTTTATCGAAATTTATAAAAGGGACTAATTGCTTTAAATTCATATTAATGATGTTGAAAATAAGTATTTGCCGTAGTGTGTATAAAACACACGGTGTGTAAGGGGGAGTGTATTAAGATAACAGATTGTGTATATTGTGTGTAAGTGTATCTGAGGTGTAAGAAGAAATTTCATTGACTACTTATCGCCTCTGATCTATGGTTTTTCTAAGATATGTCATAGCATGCATGAAATGATGATAAATAAACAAAATAAAGACGTAGGAATGCATGATTGTTATTTTTACTGTTGCAATCAATCATTTTTCTATATTCAGAAAAGACAACTGATTAGAACAGTTAAGTATAATTACTGTTATTCAGATAATAAGTGATGTATTAAATGTAATAAGAAGTTCATGTTTACTTATTATTTATTAGTTGCCATGGTGCAACTAATTGGATTGCATCTTTCCTATTAATACTATTTGGATTCGCCCATATGTGTAGTGCTTCAGCTATTAGTCTCTCTTTCTAAGAATTAAAACGTTTTTGTGGAATTCTTGTGCCACTGAAATTAATTATATGACCCGACTCTATTGTGTAATATATTGGGGTTTGAAGCGAAAGTTAATGAGATTGAATTTCAGAGTGACACTGGGATGAAGGAATATCCAACCAAACAGACCCAAACAGGAAAAAATGAGTGTCTTGGATTTCACTGCTACTCAATAACTTTAATAAAAGCTTGTGACTAACGGGCAATATCTATGGAATCCGTTCAGGATACGATGTACATATTCCTACACGGACTGATCAACTGAAATCTTTTACATTAACCATTCGAAAGAACAAACCTTTGCAAATAATTATGAATCCCCGTTTAGTATTGTCTAAAATCAACATTAGTAAATGTCAAACTGACTCAGTCAATCAACTTCGGTATTTTCTAATTAGGAAAACTCTAATAATTGACATCAATGAGATAATTGTATTCCCCTTTAACCGAAAGTTTCATAATTTGATCGTCTGAAACAATTGATGTAGCGAGCAATGACTTAACCGATTCGGTTACAAATGACATAAAATCGATTATTTGCACTACATCTTGAGAAAAAAAATACTTAGTTGTATGATATTGTACCTATGTATTCACTCAATAAGTTATTGGTTAATTGGTGTTAGATATCACTTAATTCAAATTATACAAATATGAGTGTTAAACTGATTTTATGAAAAGCCACATCGCATTCGTGTATTTAGATGTGCGTTTGATTTGTTTTGGAGGTTGAATAAATTCATATAATCAATCTTCGTTTTCTCACTAAATGTCGTCAAATTCGGGGTTTTCAATACTAAGCATAAGTCAATCAAGTAACTCCGTAGGCATAACAAGAGTATTATTCGTTTAAAAATCAGTAAGTGGTTCTCACTGTCATCATCAACACAGGGTACAAGAAATGATTACTTACCTATAACATTATTTAATTTACGTACTGAAGTGGTAGATAAAAATCGTTTAGCGATTACAAAATCTGACAGATAGGCGGCAAATAAACCAACAATCGATTGTGCAATATACGGAATAGATGATAAGAGACCATTCTATGTAAAAATTGTTATTTTTTCAATAACGTCGAAAAACAAGGAAGAAAGGTGAATAAATTGATTTTTCCACTTGTAAAAAAAAGATTAGGTGAAGCAAAACAACGCAACATTAAACATATTAGTGTTAGTAAAACCATCCTTTTTTCGGTATCCAACAAAAGTGCAATATCTAGCATTTCCGAGCATTCTTCCATTTATTTAATATATATCAGTGCTATACATCAGAGAGTAATTTTTACTGAGGATTTAATTTCAGTCATCTAAAGTTACCTATATATGTCTTCCACGAATACGCCACTGTAGCCTATTTTAACTTATCAGATAAAAAGAACTGACAAAGTGGAAGTCAACGCATGAAATGAAATCCTCTTTGAAAATATTATGCTCTTATGTGCAGCATCTACTTATCAAATAAATGGAAATAAGTCAGATATTATTATTCGCACCCAACGAATTAGGAGAAACCATTAAGATCTTCGTGAAAAGAAAAGAACTCTTGCAAATAGTTCGCGGCTGAGTACTGAAGAAAGAAAAGTAAACGAACACGTTACAGTTTACTTTGCTGTTTTTTTTGTGCGAATACGAAAATCAGTATCTGTAGTACATACGGACAAATTACAATCTATCCTTTCCTGTCACTTTCAGGAATTTGGTAACAACCCAAAATCGTTTAGAACTATAATTAATACACTGGTATAGGCGTGGAACTGTCGCAATTATGAGTTACATGTATATGTAGAATAAACACATCAAAGAAATGCATTCTAAAGTAAACACATAGGCATATATTCATGCTGCCATAAGTATACGTTACATGTATGTATATAGCGCGTAAATCAAGATTTATACATTCTACAATAGATAGATGCTTCACCCCTCAAGTGTAGGTTACACGCATATATAGAGTGGATAGACGAAGGCCTGTACACTCAATAGTATACGCATAAGTATGGATGCTACCAACCCAGTCAGCAGCCCAATGGTTGAATAAAAAGTAATCAAATAAATCCATACATAATTCATCGTTAACGATATGCTCTCATCACACTAATGCTATAGGCAAGCTTAGTGTCAACCTTTGAGCACTGGTTCCAACACAGTTTATGATCTTAGCTCTGGCCGCCCTCCCGGACCCAATACGTTTTTCCAGAGTGAATCCAGTCAGGCACTAAAAGGAAATTTTCTTCCAGTATTAACTTTCACGCATGTCAATAGAAACTTAAACGCCCCTCTCTATTATTCAGATTTTAAGACAAACTGGAAGATTAGCCTTATCTCTACTGGTTTAAGAAGATTGGCCGGTCAGTCTAGTCCCTACTTAATAGCCCGCGTTAGCTCATGAACAGAGTTGACTAACTCCATGGCACCACTCAGAGATGCGGGTCGGTCTTTGCCCTGGAAGCTAGATATTGGAACAGATACTAAACATTCACGGACATTTATTTTATCCCAATATAACATAACCTTAACAAAAGACAGTCCACAGAAAAAATCCCCTATCAAAGTGTTGACTAGTCTTTATTCTAAAAATGCTTGAGCAATTCGTTTCTATGGCATCATGCCCCACTGGTGAGGATAATACAAAGACTTTCTTTCTTGAACAAGATATTAACTATAAGCCTTGTCCGGAAAATAAGATCTTTTGAAAAGCATCACCGATTAGATCAAAGTTATTTATTTTAATACCATTTACAAATTCATTTTACGGATATTTCAATTTTCAGCAAATAAAATATAGACTGAGGTTACCTCCAACGTTTTCAGTGTTGAATAAGTTTGTAGGATCCATTTTTCTGTTCATTTAGTGTATGAATGCTTTATATTGAAGTGTGATTTTCACAAAAAATTCCTTGCGAAGTATCCATTATGAACACTTTAACACATGTTGATCGTAAAACGCAAATATTGAGCAAGTTATAACTTAAAATAAAATCTTCAATTAAAAATAGCACTTCAGTATACAGCATTCATTTACTAAATGAACAGGAAAATCAAAAAAATTGCTTAATTATCAGTATAGGGTTGTGGAGATTATTAAGTTTTTTGATTGAGATCATGAACCGATTGATGTTAGACTACTATTAGAAACCTGGAAGCACTGGACGGCCGTTTAGGCCTATTTTGGGACTCCTCAGCAGTGCGCATCCACGATCTCGCTCACTAGTGACTAGCTTCGTGAGGGAATTCTCGGTGTTCTAGTGAGAAACCGTGACCAGTGGAGCTAATCCGTGTCGATTAGTGACAGGTATCTACCTCAGTACAACGGAAGATGGTCGCGCAATTTTTTGGATTGATTGATGTTAGACCATTGAATGCCGGTTTCGTGGTCCAGTAGGTTAAGCGTTTGCGCGCGAAACTGAAGAACTTGGGTTCAAACCCCGCGATCGGGATCGTGGATGCGCACGGCTGAGGAGTCCCAAAATAGGGCGAAACGGCCGTCCAGTGCTTCCAGGTTTCCAACGCTTCATGATCTTAATCAATAATTGCTTAACACAACATAAATACAGAACATTGGAAAAGTTACAGATTACTTAAGCTTTAAAAATATATCTGTTTATTCTAATTTTACATGATATAAACGTTAGAACATTAAGAGTCGTTTTTAGTAGTTAATGTTTATCTTCAATTTATACGGTTCTATGTTGAATAATCACTAGAAATCATTAAAAATATACATGTATTCTTTATAAGCTTGTCAAACACAGTAATGTTTACTATAGTTTAATTAATTAATGAATACTGGAATAGGTAAGTTGTAAAGAGAAAAAAAAAGAATAGCAAAGAAAATCTTTTTGAAAGAAAATGAAAGAATGAAATTTCTAATGTGTTAAAAACTATGTATCATATATCCGTAATGGTGACAAGATTTATCAACAAACTTGGATAAACAGCTATCTAATTTCATTGTTTCTAAGGAAAAACATAGGAAAATGAATTTTTTTCAAATACTGAGTTGAGTAGAAAGAATGCAGATATAATGAAATCATTCTAAGTAGTTGGCAGGATACTTTGCCTAACTTAGGTTTCTTGCTAGTAGATACTCTTCAGCAAGGGGTACTTGGAATATTGAAGGGACTAATGTGATTTGAATCACTATCATTCATCGTCATTGTCCGAAATATTACCACTTAATCACTCAGGATGCAATTAACCCTTTTCGAAATGAGATTTCTACAACTGACTGATCCCTGGTTAGGGACCTACGTCATATTTATTTAGTTCCCTTACACAGATGATTGAATTCTGTGGACTAAACTGAAATGTGAGCCAATTTAACAGAATGAACATTGTACACACTGTACTCAAGTGTTAGGTTGTTGGATGTAGTACGCGAATAAGCATTTGGCTAAAGGTATTTTTATACCACTCTCCTGGTAAACTTTCACTTAATCCATCAAAGGTTAGCATACATTTTACATTCTACAAATTACCGTTAATTAGTTATGTATCTGTTACTCAGTTCTGAATCACAACTGACATAGTATTGCATCGATTTAACTTTTCTATTATGGTGTATTGTAGTCATGTAACTGATTTTATATTATCATGTGAGTTTTTGAGGTATAACAATAGAGAATAAATCGGTTGACAGTTCACATTTTCTTATTAAGGATTAGTGTAAATTCTAGAATTTGTGCGAACTAATGTGTGTTTGGATATACTGCCAATGTTGATGGTCATTAGTTTTGTTGGTTAAGCGGAAGTCATGAATATTGTTGATGTAGGTTGAACCTCCACATAGTAAACTCAAGAGATTCTGTTTGACACCAGCACACTTAGTAGGTATATCGAACTAAACATATAGATGTAAATTAAGACTCACTTCGGTCATACTGAATCCTAGGACACGACACATATAAGTAGGCATAGATGTAATTAACGAATAGAAAGACCAATTAAAACAAACATGACAAATTATAATTGACCAAACTGGAGCTGACTTAAATATTTGACGCCATGGAACTGGTTTTTTATGTAAAACTCTCGTTTCAACTGAAATATTATCTAAACTAAAAAAGATTAAATTTCATATGAAGGAAAAAATAAATTCAAAGATCATCATCAACAAAGCTATGGCGAAATAGCATGAATATGAAAAATGAATAACATACTATTATCATATATATTTTCTGTTAAAAAGACTAGTAGAACAGGCAATTTGTTTTACTTAAAAGCGATCTTGAAGGATATATCTAATAGCCATTACATCGGTGGTTAACATGGAAACACAGGATACGTATTTTGTTTCATTTGGGACTCATCAGTCGAAAGTGCCTGCATTACAGTCTTGATGGACACATTGGAACTTTAACCCAATCATAATAAAAAAACTTTTCAAAATAGTTTGGGATGCACGTATATCGATAGGAACTGATCGATTGCAGACCTCAACATCAACAATGAGAAGATAAAAGTCCTCATAAATGAAAAACTGTCTATGATTTAGTAATATACTCGTTCATGTATCTCTGACAAAATTCATTAACAATGTGAACTGTTCTTATGTATATTGATCTCGCTAGTTTACTTTCATTGTATATAACATCACATTCTAAGCGGTTAATAACTTACCATGCTTCATATGTTTTAAGCAACACTCCAGCCAGTCATAACCCGATTCCATTTTCAAGCTGAAGCCACCATCAATCAAATTAAAGTATTCGATCATGTAAACTTGAATAGATGATGAAACTAGTGCCGATTGAGCTTAAAGTAAGTCACATCCCATGTAATGTTCAGTAATTCACTAAGTTATTCAGTGAATCCTAAATCTTTATTGTAGTTTTCAGAATTCAGCTTACGTAATCACATCAATAAAACTCTTAATTTTTACAGTTCTGAGATGTTCTTTCGATGCTTAGAAAATGTTATCCCTCAGGGTTAGCCAGTAGTGTGGTGTATGCTACTGTCGACAGATATAAGTAGTATGTATCATCAGTCGAAAGTGAAATGCCTAGCGGCAGAAGGTTAAGAAGGTCAATGAAAATAGAATGACAACAGTCAATGATTGCTGTATAAATGAAGGAAAAATGAAGTTGGAGACGATTGACTGATGTTTGCAAAAGGAACAGTCGAGTTTAAAACAATTGGTTGACTTTTTGTAAATGAAGTATTTACTGTATGGTTCTTAGATTTAACTAAGATGTCCTGTAATTTTGTATTTTAATTCATTGGATTGTCCTCAGTTGTGTTCTCGTTCAATACAGTAGGCATGTATACTATCACTAACGGATTTCAGGTATTTAGTAACCAAATGATATGAAAAAAGTGATTGGTTCTATTTCGAATTAACATTCAGGAATCAGACATGTTGTCAGAACATATAACTATCCGGTCGGTTAGCTGAATCTAAACTATAAACTTATTATGTTATTCTTGTATAAACCAGATGTCTGTGTACTCAGTTCTACATGCTTGGTTCAGTTGTTATTGATACTCCTAATTCTGTTGAAATTACTTGTTAAAGAACTGTAGACAATGGCAAATGTAACGTGATAAAAAATAAAGTGATCCAACATACTGTAAGTTTTTTAATAACTTCCTCATTAAACAATGATTTAATGGAAATGAAGCGATTTTAAGGAATTCACTTTAATTTTTAAGTTATATTTGTTACAGACTAATCTTGGTCGGGCTGCTGTAGAGAACCGGAAAGGATTGTAAAGCTGTTCTGTCTTAATTTAGGACTCGTTATCAGTGAACACTCTTGACCCATTCAGTGATCGAATCCGTGACATTCTGGTCTACTGGCGAACACTAAATCATTGCGACTACTGGTTCACTTTCCAATAATATAATTCTGACTTCAATCAATCTGCAATATTGTGTGACGATAATTCGATGCTTCAGTGACAATTGTTTCACTCTCAACATTTCTGACCAGTTGAGTCTTCTTTTTAGAACTTCAGTAACAGCTTGAAATCACTAGTGAGCTGATTATTAAAGTTCATTTGAGAGTGTTTAGTGTAAATTAGTTTAATATGTAGGCTGTGTTCTTTAAAGGTTGATTTCAGTCAGTTCAATCGCCATTTACTTCAAGACGTCCCTAAAGTTCTAGTGACAAGACATAAATGATAGAGTTCAGGTATGTCGGGATTAAAAGTTATAACTAATCGTATTGAACGATCGTTGTGCAATTTATGATACAAAAATTAATAAAATGAAATAAGTAAATACCTTCTCAAATCTGTTGAATTCACGACACTACTTGTCATTTTTCCCTATAAATAATAAAAGATGGATAAATAATTTTGTATTTCTTCAAATCATCGTCGAAAACATCCAGATCAACTAAAAAAATTCAAAATCGAATAATCGACAAAGGAATTTGTAGCTCAGACTGATTTATTTTGTTATGTTGAATTTTCCAAGCTTTGAAACAAACTTAACTTTGCAAGGTGTGAGGTAAGAGTCATTAGCTTAACAGAATACTCTATGGCAATTCAACTGACTTGACTGCTAATTTGATGTGGTGGTTAGGCTTCGATATTGCGAAGAACTAATGGAGTTATATTAACTGAAACTTTCATTCCTCTTGGTCGTACCTTGTCAAGAGTGTTGGCGGGAGAACAGTAGGGCTTAAAGCAGCAATCTCATAGTCTGGAGGTGAAGTCGCATTGTTGACTATACTCAGACGTGACACCAGTGAAATGGTTTTCTTGGGTAATAAGCATATGTATTAATACTTCATTTAAACTGAAAAAGGGGTTAGAAACGGCCAGCCCTAAAAATAGAACACTTCACCTTGCCAAGTCGATTCCTCTCTCTAATTTTAAGGCGTTAAAAATGGAGAGCAAACACATCCAAGACTGTTCACAAAAACACCGTGTACGACCAACCTTGGGTTGCTGTCCCTTGGGATATAGAGTCACTTCCTCAGGTCATAGAACTCACCCGTAAACCAGTTTCTTCTTATAGTACCTTACAAAGAAGTATACTTCTACAGTAAGAAGACTGGGAATCGAGAACATCCCCTATACCTCTCATATCACTTAAAATTACCTTGTTGCCATGATCAAACCCATTCTCAATGATTTCTTCAACTCAAGTGGATTCAATGAGATGACTAAACGATAATAGATATACTAGATGTTAACGGTCACTGGTTCTAGATGATAACTCTTCATAAAATGTAAGCACACTGCACGAATATAAAAAGGCTCCCAATAATGACACAATCTATGCACATTAAACACATTTAAAAATGACCTAATGACATAATACAGTGCATCAGATGGAGTTCAATGCTACTTTCAGTCACTTCAAAGCCCTTAGAATTATGAATTTATTCCATCCCCTGGCAAGTATTTAAACTCATGTTAGGTTAACCGTAATCTAGGTCAAATATCAGCTTAGTTTGCTTGGGTTAACTGTTTCCAAGCTTTATACATTAAAGTTGGGTGGTGACTAGAAGTAGAATCTGTGATACGCATTTCGTCTAATTTAGAAATCACTAGACAGAAGTGTCTAAATTTCATTGTTGATTTTCAAATTCAGTACACTGTGTTTTTCACCAAGTTACTGAGTTCAGGCTAAAAATATAGAAACTGACCAATCACACTTCTGGTGGAGTTTTGTTCCCTTAGCTGGATGGTTTGGTCGTGGAGCTTTCATCGTTCTTCTGAACGACATCATCAGCACAAACTTCAAATAGAAGTGAAGTGTTCGGATTCCTCCATATGTGTTTCACAGCTTGTTCTGTGCACCTCGATGTTGATTGGTTCTTGTTGACCTTAAATTTATCATTGTTTACTTCTTTGTTTTGGTTGTGTCTCCCATTGGTCTCCCATTTGTTCCTATATATAAATATAGGCACAGAACAAGCTGTGAAACACATATGGAGAAATTCGAACACTTCACTTCTATTTGAAGTTTGTGCTGATGATGTCGTTCAGAAGAACGATGAAAGCTCCACGACCAAACCATCCAGCTCAGAGAACAAAACTCCACCAAAATCATCCACCTGAGCTACAAATCTTCTCCACCATCTCAAAATCACACTTCTGAAAGTTATCTATAGGAAATCACAAACCTTTACCAATTTACACAAAATCTATATCTAGACAAATTTCAACTTACTGACTTGTTATCATTTTCAGAATAATTATTTATTGATGCTGATAAAATATATTGTTTCTCAGTTGAACTTATCCATGGATGTTGATTAGGATTATTAAATACTAAAGTGGCCCAAATTCCAGAGAATATTACAGCGGTTACACCATAAATATAATGAACATAAGGCCAATAAGAAATATAAGTTGGAGCTGTTAAATTGGTAGCATGAATTAATCTTGGTTGTGAAATTACACCAGCCAATGATTGACCAATAACAGCGCCAAATACTAAACCTTAAGAAATATTTTTTTGAATACAACAGGTTAACATCAAATTCAGGAAAGATATGCATTTAATATATGTTAAATGGAAGTGAGTACATTCTAAAAAAATGTAACGTAGCTACAAGTACACATTTACTAACGACTGTTAAGTAAAAACACTAGCTGATACTGTATAATATTTTTAACTACTTAATATTTTTAAGTAGCTAAATGAAAACTTCAGAAAGTTTAATTCCACTTCTGTATAAATTAGTGATATGAACTCTGTTAAATGTCAATACATTCATCAGAACTTCAACTTTTTAGTGGTATAAAATTATTTAATTCAATTTGCATCAGCTATATGTTTAAACATAAATGTTCTTATGAAAGATTCTAAACTCAACACACAATTCATTATTATAGTTTACGTAACCGACTGATCTTACTAAGTGGACAACCATTAAAAATCAGAAAGCACTGGACAGTGGTTTCATCGTAGTAGAGGACTCCTCAGCAGTGCACATTCACGATGGGAGATGGACATGTGGTACTGTGAATTGATTGAAGTTAGGCGTGTGCACCCTTGGTAGCTAGCTCATTGGTATAAAGGTTAAGCTCCTGCATGTGTGACCGAAGGTCCTAAGTTTGATCCCCGGATGAGGTCGATGATGAGCATTGTCGAACCATCCTACACTAAGGCAGAACAGCTCCCTAATCTAACCAAGATCAGTCTGTAACGTAAGCTGTGGACATTTTGCCATCCCCACAAACCACCCTACACTAACAAAAGTCATCATTGAACAGAATTTAACACTGATCAACCTTAAACCTTTCAAAATATTTCCTATTTATGGTAATAAACTTAACGCATCTGCATTTCCACCATTCCAAAAAACTCTGGATGTATTTAAAAACCAGGTATTTTATTTACATCATAGTTTCACGTTTTGTCTATTATTCGTCACTTTGTGGTTCCATAAACAAACGATGTACTCGTAGAACGATGATTCTTCTCAACTTTTTAGTCAGGTGTCAGCCAAATTGGAGACAGCTTTCGGAGATCGTTTTCTCACCCACAAGTGTTTTGCTTGAATCTTACGTACAATTTTTTACAAATCCACTTCTTCAGCGTTTGCCTAGGCAGTATGTTGATGATCTTTAAACAAAGAAGACAGGACAAACTGGATGTTTTCACTAACACCAAAGTTTAAAAGTCAGTTCACACTTGTAATGGACACATTACGTAAGCGCCTCTAAATAATTTTAATATGTTTTCTTAATTACCCTGAAGTATATTAGATTTTTTATTGTGGTGCATAATTTGTGTAAAAATAATGAAATTAATAATAATCAGAATTATCTAACACTACAAATATCATTATTGTAATCATGTATCTGACCCAGAAAATATAATAAAAGAAGCCACGACAGTTAGAATTTAGACATTTTGGATGAGATCGCAACAGATGATGGTTGCGTAGTATAGCGAGTTGAATAACGTTAGTAATGTAAACCCCTGAGTGTGCAGGCAGTAGTTAATGGGTAAACAGCTTCTTATAAACCATGAACATCTTAGGTGTGATCTGTGATAAGTTAATGAGCGCGATATAGTGAGAACAAAACAGACATCTAGTCTTACCTAGTTTTCAATGACTCGTGAACTGAACTACAAACTGTAAAATTCCTACAAATCTCCTATATCGACAATCATAGAAATAATGATAAAACTGTGACATAATAATTCACAATCTAGTAATGTAAAATAAACATTTTTCCACAATACTATATTTATACACAATTCAGAAGTATATGAAGCAAATAGAAATATTTTTTTTTGAAATTTCGTGAAAAATAAAAACATTATTGAATAAAATCATCAAACCTGAGAAAACGAATGTGGTAAATCGACTTTTTTCACTTGGTGGCGACCAATTTCCAACTAAACACCCTGTATTCGGCATCACTACACCCTTTTACGGAATAAAAATAAGGTAAACAAAATGAAATGAAAATATAAATAAACTAATGATCATATGGAACTTGATTGATTGATCACCGAGTATCAGTGACCAATATCATATTTGCTCAATCATATTAAGTAGTTGGTCAAATTCTGACGACAAATTTCAGTATGATCACTGGTCTGAATGACTCGATATCACGTGAACTTTGTTGAGAGATTAGGTCAGTCAATCGGGAACATCACGGACCAACAGGTGGTCATTTAGCCATGGAGTGAATAGCTCAATTGTAGTGTCTGAAGTTGTGAGACTGGTGGGTTCGATTTTTACATAGGATATAAGTTCTCCTTAGACTGTAGGTGCACCTTGCTGATGAGTTCCAGCTAACACGACACCTAAGTCTAGCATGATTCCATCCCGACTACTTCGAACCACCTAAGAGGTATCAATTTATTTGAAACGTTTGGTATGAATCAGCATAATCTGATCGTATATATTAAACTCACGTAGAAGAGGATGATAGAAAGATTTTTATGGAAAACAGGTTATTTCACTTTAAGACAAACCTGGATATTTATTAGACAGAGTTTTTAAAAACAAATTTGATCATGGAATGTTTGGACTAGCTGGAGTACCAGTGTACAACCTAAGGGCATTGGGCAATTATTTTCTCCTAGTTCGAGATAATAACCTGAAACAGGATTCTACATGTAGGGCTTTTAAAACTTTGGTAAGAAAGACGAATTTGCATTTCCAAGTTTCATAATTTATGGTGAAATTATCATTCACTGTGATCTAAAGGTACTTAATTGCATCGCTCAATAAACACTTGGTTAGCTCTACAATTCTGTTATATTTTAGTTATTGTTACATCTGTATGGTAACAATGAATGAATACGAAGAAGAAAGAGGAAAGACAGAAAATATGCTTGAATCAGATCACAAAAGAAGAATATGAAAATGACTGGTCTATTGAGTTCTGATACCTGATTCAGTAACGAATTATTATGTACACTGAATCATAAATATAGAAGTGAATGCCCTTTTCAACCAAAGGTTTATTAAAATATTGAGTAAGTGTATGATTGACTTACTCCAATAGTGTGTCTCGCTTATAATATCTCGTCTACTGTTCGACCTGGAGATGATATAAGCACAGGCACATGATACGACTATACTCGCCTATCAATTTCTGCATTTCTTCACCTTAAATTAATTTCTTCACTGTAATGCTGTGAAATGTTGTATCTTGAACTGCTGCATATTTGTACATGGCCTTAAATTATTTATAGTAAACTCATTGATTGACAGGATGACTGACAAGAACTATTTTTACGAATTAATCATTTTATTCTCAACCTAGATCACAAATGACAGGCTTATGTAATTGTTAATCAGAAAGTTTATCCAGGTTTCTTTTTGACATTTGAAATGTCTCAATCAAGTTTACTTGACAATAATGCTCTGTAGCGCAGTTATGTAACATTATTCGTTGTACTATAGCTGATATCAATTCGTAATCGAATCCTTAACGCTTTTTTTTATTGGAAACAACAACTCACATGGAAATGTACATTATTCATATCAGAACTCCTTATCCTTGTAATGTTGTCATTTTATTTATAAATTACCCCATCCCCATACACAATATTTTAACTGGCTAATAGATCAGTTCTAGTCATTTGAAATCTCCAAGGTCATCCATATTGTTTACTTTACCAAAAACTATCATGTAAGTATATTATTCATATGCTATTCGGGTCAAGTTATAATATGAACATGAATTTTCAACTAGACTTTTAGAAATTAAATAATTATCTGTAACACAACCATGATGTTCAAAAATTTACATTTGATGTGTATATTATTCTCCTTTACAATTGATATTATATTATTAATGAAAGTAAAAGACAGATATGCATATTTACATGTTAATGTAAACGGTAGAACTATAATGAAAAGTTAATGAACCCACTGGTGAATTGTAAAACTACATTAACTGAAATTAATTTGAGATGTGCAATAGATGATTCTGATTATTTGAATTGAACAACCGGCGAGACTATAACTTTCGTGCGAACCAAACCGACTTAAGATAGAAAGGTTTGGGTTTTGACTTAAAATTCATCCATTGATATTGTTAAATAACATTTGGGGATTATTGATAATATCAGTTCGTGATGAAACCTCCAATCTTAATTCATAACCTTAACTTCAAACAATAAATCCCAAATCTGTTTACTCACACTAACTTACAACACTCTTTAGTCCCTAGGACGTTGGTGAATTTTCTCAAGGTTACATTGATGTCACTCATATGTTGCCCATGTATTAAAGTCTCACCAGAAAAATCTTGTTTCATGTCCCAAGTTGTTACAAACTGTAGGCTTGCCTATGATGTGCGTAACCTTTAAAGGTTATATAGATATTTTTTCATATTTCATTAAGTGTAGCGCCAAGACAACATAAAAATGAATGGAGTGAGAAAACGGTAAACATTTTACCGAGTGGTTTATCAATTTAAACAAAGAACACATCAACATATTTTCATATAAACAAAATCGAATTTGGCTGTAATACATTAATTATTATTATTATTATTATTATTATTATTATTATTATTGTTATTATCTTAATGAACATCCGCAATCATTCAAATGAAATTCAGTGAAAATGAATGTAAAATATGGCAGATTGTTAAATCATAATCAAACACACACACACACATTAGGAGGGATATGGATAAAACAACTATAATCCTCATGAAGTGTTTTGCAGCATCTGAACATAATATTCAGTAATATAAATAAATACTAACCAAGAAATATTAGACTAAAGATTAAAGATGGATAGAAGGAGTTCAACGATGAAATTGATGAAACTTGTTAAACAGTGAGTGTTTTGAATAATTTCGACAGTTATCATATGATATAACTACGATAATCACGTGGTTGTAATTAATACGAGTTAAAGAACTAAGAGCACACACAATATGACACAATGCTGACTAGTGTAGATTAAGCAGAAGGTTACAATACATAACATTATACAATGCCTAGCTTACATACTTATTCACTTTATGCGAAACAGTAATTACGTTCAGAACGTATTAATGTAAACAATGATGTTAGATGGTTGATGGTAGTCAAAAAATATCCTGTTTAACTTTTGTTTCATCCAAACCATCACTCGTCAGTGTGATTACAATCCATATCAGCCAAGTTCACAGTCTGAGACACTATCACCAATAAGTGATTCGGATAGCCATTGATCTCTTGTAGGATCATGATATTTACACTCAACTACCAATCAACTTAGATAAATGGATAGGTAGAATACATTTAGCAAAAAATAAGATTTTGTCTAATACTCTGGTTTTAAAAACCTTTTCATTGTGAGTAGTACATAACCCTAACTGTACAGATACACAAATACGCTCTAATAGCTCACTTTTTTCTAAAATATGTTAACCAGAATTACAATCAAAGTTTCGCGAATTCACAACAGTAAAAAACTTATCTATTATTATGTAATTTATCTGATGACATTAAAACGACTCAAAAATATGTATTTAAATAATAGACTACTTTTAGGCCTTTTGTATAAGCCAGCTACAAATGATCCTCCACACGGACTAATACAATCAGAGCTTCAGAACCACTGAAAAATGAGTAACAATAATGAATCGCTGATCTAATGCAAAAGTAGGATGCAGTAAGCACACATACAGACTTCAACAAGATTACAATTGAGTCAAGGTATATAACATAAATACGTCAAAATTTATCAAAATTTATTTATAATTATGTGGTTGATGTCTAATTTCAAGAACCCGGATGATTATACAACATCCTATATAGACGGAAAATCTTTACCGATTTATTGAATGAAGTGATTGCCAATAGTATTCTAGAGTGTTCAAATAAGTGGTTTCTTTGGTGAAATTATAACCAAAGCTAAGGTTAATTACAAGAGTTTTCTGGAATCGGTTGATCAGATTGTACTGTTATATGGGGATTTGTGAAACAATGAATGATCTGATAGAGCTGCTAAGAATAACGAATAAACGATTTCCAAATAAAATGAAGTATTTATCCTGGTATTAACTGTTAAGCCAGTATCGACACTATTTTGTTCGTTTAGTAAATATGCGAGATGAGCTTTTTTGAAATATTTAATGAGCATTTAGTATTTTCTCCTTCCTTTCTTCTTAAAACACTCTTCATTTGTGACAACATACTTGTTATACTTGTGCTCCCATTGCTCAAAATGTCGATGAAAATCATCAAAAATCAGCCTCTTATTTTTTCACATTTCGCTACTGATGCAAGTAAAGGTAATTTCTTCCAAATTTTATTCATCATTAATCATTTCGAATGTATGAAAGACCACACATGTTTCGTGTTGTTGTCAACTTGATCAGATAATATTTTACAACATTTACGGAAACTATTGATCCATTTATAAAGCAAGCATTTTCCTTAATCATTTATCTCACCAAACAACAACTTGGGAAGATATGTGTAAACGAAACTGAGCTGTAGATAACTTTGACGACCCAAGATGTAAATCCCACAACTCAAGGAGAAAATAGTTGAGGCCATGCATACACAGCCTTTAAAAGGGCAGATATGGATGTATAGCTCCGTATTTTCACAGCCTAACTACAAACAATGAAAACTTTTTAACTCCCTCCTTCAGTTGTGTAAAGGCAGCAGCACCGCAAATGCCGGTTGTCTAAGAAAAACACCTTATTGCTGTCACATCATAGTATAATCAACAATGTGGCTTCACTCTCTGAATATGAGTTTCCTGCGTTTAGTCATGCCGACCTGTCTAACAAGGTAGTATTTACAGTAACCGATACTCCAACCAATATAGCTCGAATAGGTCTTCAAATATACAAGCTTGAACACCAAATAATGGTAGCAGTTAAGATCAACCATTATTTTTAATCAGAAATACTAATTGATCATAAAAGCACAAAAGTAAGAACCAAAAATGTCATAAAAAAACAAACGAACAAGAATCATTCAATTATCGTCATTATCTGTTAGTGTGGCTATCAGTCATGTTTATGAGATTGATAAATTCGTTTCCTTCTATAAAAAAAAACGAACAGATACAATTGATACGTTGAACCACACTGGATCAGGTTTCAATTACGTAATTTCAATATTCACTAAAACCTTTAACAGATGGTCATATTTAGTAGTTGAATTCATGAGTCGATTAAAGCTAGACCACATTGAAAAACCTGGAAGCACAGGATGGACATTTCATCATTGTATAGAACTCCTCAGCAGGTTTTCCAAGGTGGTCTAGCTTTAATTAACTCATGAATTTAACGATTAGATTACTACAATCTCTGCAAAACCCTTTTTAGATAATCATAATGTTAATTATTTTTTGTTCTAAGAAATTATATTAAGCAGATTAACTATCAATTACGTAGTGTGATTTTTGTACCATAATAAAAAATAAGTAATCACTTGGAAATTAGATAATTAATATCAAACAAATTGTTTTTTTTTCCGTCTCGCTATCTTCTTTATAACAATGATGCATACGATTGTATAAATGTAGCGTTGTTTCTTTTTTGTAAGTTGATAAACAAAGTTTATTCTTGAAACGTGTATTTTAAAACTCTATACTGTTTGAATCTCATTATAATTTCCTCTTACGTAAAGATGGAAAAAAGTAGAGATATATTTTTTCTATAGTAAAATGATATTTAATGTGAATGTGATTAGTGTACCTAGTTATCAGACGTGTATGTATGTTGTATGAAAATCATTGATACTGGTGAACTAATTGATGAGGTGACGAATTTTCGTAGACTGATGTGATTAGGACACATATGACATAGCCTTAACAACCGCCTATCTTGATGAGTAATATTTTCTTATGTAGCAGAAGTTTAGAAGAATGTTAGGAGTGACCGAATTATAACATGGTAGCTCATGACGTCATTAACTATTGATATCAATCATGTTGGTAGAAACAGACCAAATGGTTGGAGTCCGCGTAAAAAGTGCGAATGATGGTTAAAAACGTTGGGCAATATGGATCAGAATTTTCGACAATAGGGCATATATATTCATTCTTTATTTTTCTCTAAATCTTGATTTTCAGTATTTCTTCATACATACATTTTTATACTGTCTCTTCGTACCATGTTGTCAATGCACAGTCTAATTTTTATTAAAACTACACTATTTTAATTCTTCTGTTATTTGTTTTTTTATTTTCAACTTAACGCACTAGTATGATATAGTAACTTGGACCAACGTACACTTGTTTCTGGCTCGACCTATAGTGTGACTGACACCCACCAAACTAAACAGATATATATGTGCAGTGAGAATTAATATTTTGACAAATGATAAAAAGAACGAATTGAAGAAATTTCTTTTCAGTTAGTCTTGGTTGAGCAAAGGATAGGTAAGAGTGATTAAAAGTTCTGTTCTTGCTCACTTGGTGAACACAGGTCATCAAGTTGACTTAAATAAAGCTTTTAAGGTTATTTACTTTATCATATCAAATTTGCCGCATGGTTAATGAGTTCACCTTTTGCGCATTCCTAGAGCCATCAGAATCCATGTTCACATACCCAACCTTTGCATCCAAAAAACGTTTGTACAACCACTCTACCTACCTTGGCCATTGGTATAGAAGTGATTTCGTAGCTGAACTTCGACGAAACCCAGTCCTTCAAAATCATTTAAACTATTTTTAATTTCATCCACTTTTGTAATTTAAATATTCTCATATTCGTCTCTTGATTCTTACATAACTACCATAACACTTACCGTTAATCAAAATATTGTGTTAGTTCTTTCTTTTTATATATTATGCAACGTAGCAACTGTTTGATTTTTCGAATAATTACTTTGATTTTTATAATCCGGTTTCTTCCAGTTACTCAATATTATTTTATAATCAGTCCATCACTATATAGTATTACGTGATGTAACTACTCAATGAGTATTATTTGGTTGTTGTAAATCATATATATACTAGGACGAAAAGGCCGTCCAGTGCTTCCAGGTTTTCATTGCTGGTCTAACTTAGATCGGTTCATGATCTCAATATGAACTCAACAATTTCCAAAATCTGGTACTGATAATTATCATGTGCTCACTAGTAACTAAATTCGAGAGGTAATTTTTGGAGTTTTAGTGAGAAACCGAGGCCAGTAGAGTTCAACCGTGTCAGGTATTAGAGTGTTATCCGTCAAAGATAATAAAAGATGGTCACTCAGTGTCATGGACTGATTGAGGTTAGATATTAACACCATTTAGTACCAACTCAGTAGTCTAGATATTAAGTGTCTGCGCGCTAGATCGAAGGTCCTAGGCCCGAGTCTTGCATATGGGGTTGTGAATATGCACTGCTGAGGAGTCCCACACTAGGACGAAACGGACATTTAGTGCTTTCAAGTTTTCAGTGGTGGTCAATCTTACATCAGGTCATAAACAAAACAAAAATTCAACAATCTCCGTGGCCCTATACTGATATCTATATCATTTTGGTATCCAAAGGGACTGACAAATTCATAGGTTATTTAATAAAGAATGTGTATCTGACAAATTGTTTTGATATTTAATTTGTTTTAAAAATGAAATCTTGAAAAGGAGAAACTTCTTTTCTTGGAAAATTGTTGTATTTTTTTAATGGGAAATTGTAAATTTCGCATTGATTCATCGTTGAGAAATACAAATCAATGTTTAATTATCCATTCATATTCCCGAGTGTTGTTGCTACATTGACGTGGTGGCTAGGCTTGCCTATCGTGGTGAAGCAACTGGGCTATAATGGCTGGAACAATTGTTCCTCAAGGTTCTACCATGCAAAACAGGTCGGTTGAAGAGCGGCAAGACTAAAGGCAGCAAAACCAAGGTCTGAAGGCGACGTCGTACTGCTGACTGTACACAGGTGTGACGGCAGTAAGGTGTCTCCTTCACACAACCAGCATAACAGTGATGCTGCCTTTCCACAAAGAGAGGTGGGGTTAGAAATGGTTGACCCTAAAAATGCACACCTCGCCTTATCCCACGGATATCCGTCTCCGGCGGTATGGTCTCAATGAGTACAGAGCTAACACGAAAACTACTCACAAAATGGTCGTGTGCGACCGATCTCAAGCAGTTGGCACTTGAGGACTACGGTCACGCTCTCAGGTCTCTAAGACCACCTCTAATTCAATTTCCTTTTCAGGTACCTCTAGAAGGACCTTTTCATGGTGTGGGCAACCGGGAAGTGATATCCACCCTCATACTTCTAACAGCACTCAAGAACACTGTCTTCACAATCAACCTTTTTCCTCCATTCATATTCTACCTAAGCAAAAAAAAGCACTTGTAGGCGCTTTCCGTTTTTGATTTTCGATAGGAATAAACTACGGTATGTGACGTGTAATAACGTTTGCTTTCTCTACAATATGTATATATATTTCTCGAATTACTTGCAATTTTTTGCAATATGAAGCTTGGATCGCTAATCATTAGTGCCGTTATGGAGACGGTAGATTGTGTAGAATATATTAATTGATTTAAGAGTTTGTTTGAATCATAAAATGGATAATAGCTAGAATAAATTTCTTTTAAAAAAAAAACTAGAAAGTAGTTGATGACTCCATTTTTATTTACGAATCATTATCAGAAAACAAACACACAATTAGTGTTGGTTAGGAATAAAACAAAAAACGGTCTCTAAGTTTTGCACAGGAATTACGATAACAATTAGTTAGTGTTTTATAACAAATTTTAATGAAATTACTGTATTTGGCAAAGTATGGATTTTAATAATTATTCCATCAAATTATTTGATCAACACTGAAAGGATTAGGCAAACACAAAACTGATTATTGTTGAATGATCAATCAACTGTAAATACCTTAGTGCTATAAGAGGTGAGTTGTAACGCGAATAGCTTAGTGGTAATATTTTGCCCTATGAAGTTAGGTGATATGGGTTTGAATTCAAAATTGTAGGTATGCTTTCTTGACAAGTGTCAACTAGTACGAAACCTAGATTGAGTAGGGTTTCCTATCAACCACCAAGCATTTCAATAATTATCTCTCCATCTCTGTGGATGAATGATGAAAACTAGCCTTGTACATTAGTGTCTTCATGAGTAATGAATAATGGATATCAAGATATAAAAAAATAATTGAACACTAACTGATCATATTTAACCCTATCAGGATTCAAGTGCCCAATTTGAGTCAGTGATAAACAACGTTGAGTCTGTTACAAATTGTCAGAATTAAATCAACACAATAAGATGAACCTATCAATATGACTAGAATTTAATTTACAATGAAGAACAAACATTCTTTAAAACATTTTCAGCAAAAATATATCTATGTTACTTCGATTATAAACACAAATGACTATGTATAAGTATAATCAAGGTAGGTTGATCTTTTTCATTGTAATCAATAATAAAACAAGCATAAAATAACTGAAAACTTTTGTTATACTGAACAGTGAAAATTAACATATAATACAAGTTATTTTATGTAACCAATTTAATCAGTAATCTTACCAATCATTTAATTGATTAGTTAATTAATTCATTAAATGATTAATTCTTTTTTAAAAAAAAGTGCTTAATAATTTACCTGAAGAAGACCTTGTATCACACGTAAAGTGATTAATAATTCAGCACGAATACGTGCTGCGGTTGGTACACAAAATTCCGTGATAGCACATCCAAATAAACTAGAAAAAATAACCCATTTAGGACCAAAACGAAACGCTAATATTCCACCTGGAAAAATCAAAGAAAAAAACCGATAATTCTAGAGATAACATTTTATAGTGTAAATTAATAAACAATATCAGTCAGTCAGTCATCTACAAGGTAGGACTAGGCACATACATGCATTGATTCAAATTACCATACCTTATTAGCACAACAAAATGAACACCAAATTCATAGAAGCAGTTACTTTGATGGTATTAATATATAAAAAAATGATTGCATATAAGACAGAGACAGAACTAGTTCGTAGGAAGAAAGGTATAAAATGATTTCATTCTCATGGTTTAAGGGAAGACAAAGAGTGTGTACACCAACGCCATTGTGATCGACTCTGAGCCATGTCACCCAGATTTCCTATCCGTTAGTTACAAGATCTGCACGGTCCCCGACCAAGTAGTCTGCATCTACCAACATAGCTCAAACCAGAAGTTAGTGACTTTATGGACTAATACCGCGTTTCGGTTTGGCTGCTCTTAATTTTCTTCTATCTGTCTCCAACACTAACCAGCATTATGAACATGTAAAAAGTTTGACAGAAAATGTGATATGTTTTTCTTGCAAAAAATTAGTAACTGATATTTTTGTAATGAATTATAAACAGAAGTTCAAAGTGTTTAAAACAAAAATCACAGACCAATCTCAGTTAGACATTCATTGAGATTCAGGAAGTAGTTAACAGTACAGAACTCCTCAATAGTATGTTGAGAACTAAACTTAGAACTTTCAAGTTTATCTCAGTAAACCCTTAACCTTTAGATCACTAACCCAGCATCCTACGGTTTACATGTTCAATTTCAATTATTTTGCAATTTTATGCAACCATTTTTCAGTGTCATCGGTGAGCTCCTCTACATTTAATACAGTTGAACTCCATTTGCACAGGGTTTTTTCACAATAACTCTGGGACTCATCTCTGGAAATTAATCAATGCAATTTACTATTCACAAACCACATCCCGGTCAACACGACCCCGTTAAAGTGAGGAAAAAATTGGGAAAATATAGACTTATTAGACTACAAAATATACATAACCAAAATGAAGAAACCAAGTTATTATTACATCTATAATTAGTAAGATTTTATTAAGACTTGATCGAATAGAACTTGCCAATGGTTAATCAATCAACCTGTTATATAAATTCAGTCTATATAATATTATTAGGTGAAAATGTTTCGACCAAAAACATTGATTATTAAATTATATCACTAACCGCTTATATTTACACGCATATCTTTAAGAATACTAATTAATTGAAATAGCCAAAGTGGACATGGTTAACCGAATAGGATTTTTGGCAAATAAGTGGAATAACTGATGTTCACAAAAAGTCAAGATTGTGACAAGATCCAAAGAAGAAGTGTCCAGGTTTAACTGACCTGGTAATGTGTTATAGTAATTGATGTAGGTGATCCAATTGTTTAACTGGGACTTAGTTTTCACATTTTTTAATGTATACTATTCCCTGATTTTGGAGATAAAATAGACTGGGAGAACAAAACTGGTTTACTAGCTAGTATAATTTAACTGATTAAAACTGAGAACTGATTAAGAGTAGAGCTAGGTAGTTCAGTTGGGACAGTATCGAGAAAGTAACCAGCTGTGTACAGGTTTCACGTCATTCGAACTAGTAAATATCGTTGGACATCAAATTTGAGCAATCAAAGCACCAAATATTTAATCTAGTCATGTTAATCAACTTTATCAGCCATATACTTGAACACCAGAGCTATTTAAAATATCCGATACGATAAGATTAGTTTGCCCAATCAATTGTAAATACTTCTCAGTCCTGCAGAAGGTCAGTTGGTTCCCAAATAGCCCAGAATTAATGTCAAAAGGCTGTAGTACTGAGTAACGTGGAATCGAGTCCGACAGGAACCACCAGTGGCCTCACAACTGCAGGTACACTTTGCTGATGAGTATGTCAACTAGCACGGGACCTAGGTCGAGCAGGGTTTCCTACAGACTATATCCAACCACCTAATATCAGATGAAATAAACGATTTTTGCAACGATAAACAAGGAAAGACATTTTCGCTGATAAAACAGAAGCTAATGTTCCTGAAAAAAGCAGTTTATCATCAAAACCTGTTGAGAAAAATAGTGAAATACGTCTATTTTAACTAATATACTTATATTGTGTTCATTTAATATTGCCATCCAAAAATGGCAAAAATGGTATAAGAAGTGAATTTCATTACATCCCTTCTCATTAACTAAAATAATTTAAAACTGTAAGCATATGCTTACTTACAAAACTGTGTATTTTCCCATACAACATTTTTCCTCAAATGAATTCATCAAAATCCAATAAATAGTCGTTTTTGATACAGAGATACTTTAGCACAATAGTTAAATGAATGCGAATTGTTGAAATATCTCTCGAATTTTAACTCAGACGCACTATAATAAAAACAATTTTCTACTTGCTTCACGATTCACAAAAGCTAGTTACTATACAAAAACTCTGATCTATCAGGGTTTCATGCACATGTCATCAAGGCGTACCAACAATTTTGAGGAAAATGTCAGATCACATATCGTTCAGCTATGTAGTTTTTGAGATGCTACAGTTCAGTCATCTACTCCGTGACTTACTCCCAGTGGGGACAAGTTATTTACAACTGACTGATTACTGAATAATGACCAATGCTGTATTTGTTTAGATATTTAGTGCCAACTAGAATGAAACACTTTCGGTCTATTTTAATGCCGACTACTTTGAAAAACATGATATCCCAACGTAGTTCATATGATGTCAAATCACTTGGACCGTGTCGGGTGTGAGGCAGTTTCCCGATAAAAACAATGGAAGATGGTCAATAAATGTCATGGGTTTACTGAGGTTAGATATTAACACCATTTAATACCTACTCAGTGGTCTACATGTTAATTGTCTACGCGCTAGATCGAAGGTTCTGGGTCTGGGTCTTGAGTGTGGGATTGTGAACGCGCACTGCTGAGGATTTCCATACTAGGACGAAACGGACATCTAGTGCTTTCAAGTTTTCAATGGTGGCTTAACTTAGATTAGTTCATAAACTAGTTAATTCGATGAATCTTCATACAATCTGTCCACTGAATACCACATAATATTGGCAAACCATAGAATTGCTGTTTAAGACCAAAAACATGCACACCAAGAGTTGAAAAGATAGAAAAACTACTACGAAGTACCAAACTAGAAATAAATTAATGTCCAAAGCTACTTTTCTTCAATGTCAATCATTTCAACAAAGCAAAACAATAAAATAATCAATTTTTTAGTCATAGTTATCTGTCAATTATAAATCAAACTGTTCAGTTAAAATGTTTCCTGTCATGAATATAATCCACTTATAATTCTCAGTATACTAATGGATCTAACATAACAGCTTTAAAATGAATACATGAATTACTGAGTCACTGGGGAAAAAAATGTATTTCCTTATAAATTAACATCTATTTGAAGTGCATAAACTAAATGATTTTCTGAATTCTATATTTTTAATAAAATAATAACATTAGCTCAATATATTAAGTACAATATACATATACACAAAATTATTATTATTATTATTATTATTATTATTATTTTGTATAGAAGATATAAATGTCAAATTCATTATACAATTTTTAATAATAAATTAAAGTCAATATTTATCATGATAAGTCTAAGGTAAGTACAAACTAATGATGATTAGACAGTAGAGATATGTATAATATATGTACATGTTTCCTGTGACCCATATTTATACAATATTATAAAAGATAAATTCAGATCAATTTTCTAGTCTTTCTTTTTAATCATTGTGTTTAATAATAAAAAAAGGGTTGAATGATTATCAAATGTTGCGTCATTTATGACGTAGGCAAGATATCTGTCCACCAAACAAAGGACGGGTTTATTGCGCAGCAGTTCGTTCCGTCTAATTTTATGGCAGTGAAACATGGCCGGTAAGAGTAGAGGATATTCCTAAGTTACTATTATTCGATCATAGATGTCTTCGAAGCATCGCTCGTATATTCTGGGACCATCGAGTAAGTAATCCAGTTGTTAGGAAACGGGTACTAGATAAGAATGGCAAATAAATTAATGAAGTAGTGAAAGTTCACCAGTTGAGATGACTGGGACACGTGTTAAGTATGGCCAACCATCGACTGCCCCGACGTGAGATGTTTTCTGGTGTTGGAGTAGGTTGGAAGAAAACTAGGGGCGACTAAACCAAAACATGACACAAACCCATGAAGTCACTGACAAGTGGACTGAGTCATGTTGGTAGGTGTAGACTACCTGATTGGGATCCACGAGATGATAGCAACCGATGGTTAGAGACCTTCAATGAAATGGCTTAAAATCATTTGCAATGGCTCAGGTGCATCCATTCCTTGTGTTCTCCCGAATTCTAATCTTCTGAATTCTTCGCGTCCTTTTTTTCTTTTTCTCTTTCGAAATTTATTTCACTGGGTTATAATCCTTGAATAACATTTTCAAACTCTAATCTTTTTGATTACTACTTATACTTTTACTACCTCTACCACTACGGGATTTAAATCAACAATTGTATCTATGTGCAAATGTGGTTTGGCAACTCTAAGTGATGTACGTATGTACGAAGCTCTACGTTGTTACTAACTGACTGACTTATATGTTAAAACTAATTTATTAAACAGATTTTCAACTACTATTATGATCATTTTCTACTTATTTATGTAGGATTACAATCGTACAAATTGATAAACAATGATCTGATATGTTGAAAGGGAGAATTTTCTGTTTAATTTTTAGTTCATAAGTGACTTTTTTCAAGAAAACGTCGAAATAAGTTTTATTTGGCGTTACGTTTTACATTTTAGATTATTTTTTTATTCCGAATGAATAATGTGGTGTGCACTGTTTATGTGGATGGATATAAGTAGTATGTTGTAGGGATAAGAAATTCAATGGTTACCGGTGAAGACTGAAATAAAGAGAGGAGAAAGAAAAACAGAGTGCAATCTAAATAATAACAGGATTGGAAGAATAATGGTGTGCGTAAAGGAAAACTCAAGGAAGATATGCAAATGATGTATTTAATGTATGATTTTCATATTTCACAAAGTCACTGCGTAATTTACGTAAAATAGTAAACTGGTTTACCAAACCTGATTCTCCAGCACTACAGTAGTATCCCTTAATATATTTCAACGTTATAGATGATTTTTTTTTGCATATGACTATGACGTGATCCACTAGTCGCTTACAAATAAATATTTTCAGTAGGATCTTCAGACAATTATTCAACATATGAAATAAATATATTGATTTGAAGTAACATTCATTGGAACACCATCAATCTACCAGAAGTACTTGTACTTAAATACCATTTGGAAATAGTCTTCCTCAAGGGATATATGTGCAAAGAGAATTTGACATTGGAAAAGACATTGCTTTATTGTCAGTATCAGTCGAACATGGTTTATTAGTTTCATTAATCATTAGGCAAGATTTGTTTAGATAATCAACATATGTATGAAAATGAACGCAAATATTTACTAGTTTTATGAATAACAAGGGATTTCACATAAAAGAAATGAACTATATACTTAACAGTGCGAGGGGTTTTTTGAGATTGGTAGATTTGATGGTTTACATCACAAACTGATCTTAGTTAAACAACCATTGAAAACCAGGAGGCACTGGATAGCTCTTTCACGTTAGTATGGGATAACTCAGTAGTATGCGGCTGAAATCACAATGACGGTTAAACCCACGTTAGGTGTTCAACAGTCACTTACTCATCAATTGGCAATATCGTGAATTCACTAAAGTTAAAGGCATAAACCATCAGTGATCTAAAGCTTGAGTACTCACCATGAGATATGGTTACCCTATATCCGATCCCCGATGCGGTTATAGATGTAAAATATTGGTGATTTCTACACTTGAATAAAACAGCAGTTGACTGCCTCCTGGTTGACTGGCTAAGATAATTTTGTGTTGTAAACTATAATCAGAATAACAAACGGCAACATGCGAGGAATAAAAATATCGTGCTTTCTTGGCAGTTTATGGTTATCTTTTTGAAACCCAAAACGGCTTGTCGTGCTCTTGAAAAAAAAACTAACACTGATTACACGGATGCTTAAAAACGACTGACTGGTTGTATCGACTTTAAATGCAACTCTATCTAACGCTTTTTAAAAATTGCAATATTTCAAAATATCATAGTCAAAAAAATTAGATGAATCAAATTGAATAATCGAATAAGTGTGAAAAGACAAAACAAATAAGTAGAAACTAAAACTGTTTACCCCAGAATTTTATGGTTAAGTAAGACTCAAAACTATCTGCAACTTTGCTATTAACTTTGTGCCCATTTGATTCATTTAAATCTCTAATGTCTTTACTGTCACAAACCAAAATCTATAATCTACATATGAATCAAACCATCTGTAATTAGACTCACAAACTAATATCGTGCCCTTAAGCAACAACTCTGATGTTAGTCCTACTCCAGATGAAAATAAAATCAGTTATATACATCACTAACGTTATCTCATAGAAAGACTAATAAACCTCAAGTCATTATTCACCACCATTATTACTCAGTGGTATCTTTCCAATACTGTAGCCACAGATAAATGAGAACGTTGCTCAAAACACTTGTCGAAACTTTTCTATGATCAATGTATCTAGCCTAACACTTTTCTAAGCATCTGAATAACTGATTATTTATGGTCTGAACAAACCCAATTCCACGGTTTATTGTGGAATACCTTAGACTATGTAAGATCAAAAGTGATCATATTGTGGTTTGATAGACATAATTTGATCAGAATACTCTCCAGCTCTACATATTTACACGTTATGGTTATTTAATTTTCACAGTTCAGTATGTCAACTCTACACCACTTAAAAAACAACGGTATTTTAATAGGCGAGTAAACCTTTCGGTTTTCATTTTCTTAACACACCGAGTTTCAAGTTGTTTTGGTTTGGTTGTATCCTATTCGAGTCGATTCATAAAGAAGAACATAAAGGGAAGTCAGGACAAGAAATCTGGAAACTCCGTCCGAAAAAATATTTTTAGGTAAATTTGAAATTTAACAGGAACTAAACTTTTGATGTACGTCTTATTCTTATCGTTACAATCACCGTGAACTATTACTACTTTATTTCGCACTTGAAAATATCCCCCCACTCTTCATTTACTTTTCACAAATCCATGAGTTTATTAATGATAATTTCTGACATCACTTCATTTCAGTTAAACCCTCTATTGCCAATAATTGTTGTAACAAAAACAGTTTAATGATCTTATTTTATCCTTACTATCGATTATCAATTTTAAAGGTCATCCTTTATGGGTTTAGTCATTTTTGACTAACTTGCACATGTAGTCTTGTTCACGTGAAAGGCCACTACAAGTTGTGCTCTCCTCGACACTATCTCAGATCTCCTGGTGTTCCTACTATATTTCCAATAAATTGTCTAGACTACTTAAGTTAGGGGAGCCTTAACTACAGATTATGTGACGTTCCAGTTGATTTACATCTATTAGCTAAATGAACTTGCAGCTGAAATTCGGAGGTTAATCCCATAAAAAAAAGCAAGAAGATATTGGTTACGATAATAGTCACTAATTTATCATCCATTAAACACCACTTCTACGAGTAAATAAACAAAAATATCCAGATGTAAGGCATGACTTGAGAACAAATTGAAACTCTGATTTAGCAGCAGTTTTGTGGTTTTTGATATTAAAATTCGTTACCATATCCTTAAAATGATTACGAAATTTTTTGAGATTTTGTACCCCACCTAAAGTATAGCATCCAAGCACTCAATCAATGTCTTGTTAAAAGTACTGACACTCAAGCGTGTTCAGCAAGTATGAGGTAATTTAGTGAAAGGACTTTCTGGCAACTCTTATGAGTAGCAATACTTTTCGTTTTATCACAAAATGCAAGACAAACTATTATTGAATTTCTAAATTCACTAAACACAACTCCATGCCAAATAGCGTAAAAATGTAAATAAAAATTCATATTGAGTCAATTCTAACTGCTAATTTCAATTAACATGTACATGCAAAAGTGTATACATTTGAAGAACAAAAAGACAGTTTTCGCTTCATTAAGTGTGTTCATTCCGAATTCCCTACACCTTAGAAAAGAAAGTTATTTACGAAGTCTGATACCACTCCACCTACTAGACACAAAGCAGTGTGAATTTGATGAATTTATTCAAGATAACCAGTAAACAGTTCAATTCAATTGTTATCAAAATTTGCAATCAGAAATCATAAACCTGACTTGTATATTCATAAAACGTCAGTAGTTAACCTTCAACTGCCTTATAAAAATTGTAACTCTTACAACTAATCGTAACCATAATTTAATGAAGCGATATTCATACGTTCATATTTCCTCTTCAAACGTTCAAGACTTTTGTTACGTCATCCATAAATTTATCTCAACATATCAGACATTTCACTGGTCTTACAATCTCAAGTAATTATAAAAGGATCATATTTAAAACAATTGAATTTTCGAATTTGTTATACTGCACACAATTTTTCATGGACAGCTTAATGCTAATATTGGGTTATCAGCTAGAAATAATTAGATATATCGGCTCGCATGAAGCTAAAACATGACAAAATACAACAAATTCATAGTGTTCTGAAGATATTGTCTTTCTTGCTTTGGATAAATTTGTGCAGGGAATCAAGCGAATGAATGTAGTGTCATAATGTCTTATATTTTGTATTTTATATAATTAATGATCTTCAAAGCCTTCACAGATTATTCAAAAGAGGCGAATAAATAAACTGACGGTGAGAATTCATTTTTCATACAGAATGGTCAACATGTGAGACATCTCACCCAAGCAATTTACATCAGCCTTAACAATAAACAAGAAACTGAAACTACACAGAAATAATTCAGACATTAACAAAATTCAACTGAACTGCTGTTGTTATCATTAAAGAATGAAGATAGTGTTTGTGACATTAAATAACAATTACATCTAAGACAATTGTCTAGGGGCTGCATACGAGTATATTAAAAATTAGCAAATTTGACATAAATAGCTTCAAATGGAAGTTTAACGTTCTTTACTATTATGATGTGAAACACAGTGACTTTTGAATTCGAAAAAGCCCGTTTCAACAGAGTTTAAAGATCGAGACAATGTACAAAAATTGTGTAAAATAGTCATCCTTACAACCTAAATGAAACGAGAAAACTCATGCTTAATATTTTCATGTCAAATATAAAAAATAATGATAAAAACCATTATTTATGACCGATAAATGTGTCAGTGTCATCGGACCAGATGAAAAGTAGTCGGAATGTTATCTTATTATAAAGTTACACTAACCAATAAACTAAAATATTTGCCACCAGACGAACACTTAGCCCAAATATCGAAACAATTGCCGATAAACCACAAATGGGTTCAATAACTAAGCCGGTAGTTGATAACATCTATAGATTAAACCTCTAATGTATTAAACCGAGTGTTTCTTTATTATTCCAGTTATTCTTTTAACGTGATATTTACCATAAGGTATTAAAATCTGGATCTGACTAGACAAAACTCGTAAAAATGATAGAATAGATTATGGTTCATCAGATGTTTTGATAACACCAATTAACCACAGATCGCTTGCTACCATTTAGTAGAAATTTATTTAAATTAAACAGAAAAAGAAACGAAACTAACCTGGGATTTGAGTTAAAATATAGCCCCAGAAAAATGCTCCTAATATCAAACCTTGAGTCAGTCTATTCCAATTGAATTCCCCCGTGTTAATCTAGATAGAAGTCTAATTCGAAATACTCAAGTATACCTCAGTTTTCTCAGGATACGTGTGATTAGAAAAGTTAGAACAAAAAAATGACGAGTGATTTGTGTCGGTTTTGTCAATCGTATCATTGACCATGGCAAGTATTGTAACATTTAAATCAACTCTCATCATGTATATCAGAATTAGATTGATGAATCCCATTGTAGCAATTACGTAACGACATTTACAACAGAATACCCCTGTCGAACAACCCATTTCTTTACCAAATGAATAAGTACAATAACGTGGTTAGTTAAAACAATCTCAAAGGTCGTCCAGTATCCGATACTTTAAGAACAATCAGCGCAAAAAACTACCTTGTTTGCTTTCTTACTCAGTGTTTATCAAACTTTTTGATGTTTTTCTGCACACAGCTTATTTGATCAATCTAGTTTATCATATTTACATGGTGGTTTCGTGACACTATGAAGATATATCCAAGATCTTTTTTAAATGCTTATTCACATCAATTCGATAGCTTTTGTTGTCCATATAGTTCCGTATAAGGGACAGCTTAGCGTTTTTTAGATAATCAAATGGACTCGTCAAGTCACTTAATCTCGGTAATCCTAGATTTGAGTATGCTTCCAAGACGTAAAAGAAAGGTTAATAAAAACTAAACTAGGGTCGGGTAATCGACGATATCAGTACCGAAGAAAAATTGACGCGGATAGGATTTCCCTGTAAATACGCTGCTTTGAGACGATCGGGGCTGATGCTATCGTTGGTTCCGCTGTTATCGATAATATAGTACTCAGGTTCGCATTGAAGTACTTTGAGAGGTCTTTCGTGTGTTGATTCGAAAGGTCATCGATGCGAGTCTTGACGTACGAAGACGTGTGTACTATATCGTAAGTCCGGTTGAACGAAAACATCAGTTGACTGCTGTCGAGTATAAACAAGTTTAATTGAACGCTTTGCGTTTGTAAGCCTGTTTGTGTGGGTGGTTAGATCCATGTTCATTGAAGTGAATGAAGGATCCATGAATTCTCCTGAAAGTAGAAGTGTCGTTCCATAAACCAGTTGAGCTGCAGTGTGTTCCATACCAGCTTTCACTTCGTTGCGAATACCCAGTAAGACTATTGGAATGATGTCAGTCCACTGTCGTCGGTGAAAACGTTCTACCAACCCGTTTGCTTGTGGGTGGTAGGAGGTCGTTCGGAAGCGAGTGATTCCTAATAGTGTGGTCAGGCAACGGAAAAGTTCAGACTCAAACTGACATCCTCGGTATGTAGTGTTGGTTGATGGGCTTCCCAAGTTTGCTATCTATCGTTCGACGAAGGCGCGAGCCACTGTTTCAGCAGTGATGTCTTTGATAGTTACTGCTTCTGGCCATCGAGTGAAATGTTTTACACATGTTAAGAGCTAAGACTATCCGTTTGAGTCCGGTGAAGGTCCTACCGAATCCAGATGAACATGGTCGAAACGAGCGACCGCAGTTTTGAAAGAGCCTAAGGGAAATCTGTTGTGTCTGATAACCTTAGATTTTTAAGAGCTTACGTAGTAGCGTGCCCACTTCCTCACGTCTTTATTCATACCAGGCCAGCAAAACCGTTCTGCTATAAGCTAGATGGTTGCACGAACACCTGGATGAGAACGTTTGTGCAACGTATTGAAGAAGTTGCATCGATAATGTTTTGGCACGATTGGGCGATCCTTTACCTGTTCCAATCTGTTTGATGCGTAGTTTAAGGGTTGTGAACGAAAACTCGTGCTGAAGATCAGTGTATTCTTTTTGAAGCTGGGCGAGTTTCAGAAGGTCGATTCCTTGGAAACTGTTCAAGGAATTTATTCGAGACAAGGCGTCTGCAACTATATTGTTTGCTCTAGAGATGTGTTGAATGTCTAAAGTAAACTGTGAAATGTAGTCCAGTTGTCGAGACTCACGGGGAGAGTACTTATCCGAAGGACAGCTTAACAAAAAAGTGAGCGGTTTATGGTCCGTGAAAAGAGTAAATTCACGGCCTTCGATATAGTGTTGGAAATGCCGTACAGCACAATACATAGCTAGGAGTTCCCTACCGAATGTTCTGTACCTCGATTCGGTGTCTAACAACCGTCTAGAGAAAAATGACAATGGTTGCCAGAAGTTGTTAACCCATTGTTGTAAGACTCCTCCGATTGCTGAGTCGGATGCGTCTACTGCGATACTAATGGGTGCTCGAGTGTCCTGATGTGCAAGCATTGTTGCTTTAGCGATGAGTTCCTTAATTGTGGAGAATGCTCTTCGTGCGGTGCCGTCCAAATTAATGGATTTCGCATTTCCACGAAGTTGGTCGGTAAGAGGTTTCATGAGTTAAGCGCATTTCGGTATGAATCGTCTATAGAAACTTACAAGGCCGTTAAACGTTCGTAGTTGCTTGATCGTGGTCGGTTCTGGGGGATCCAGAATGGCCACCACTTTAGTTCTAAGGGGTCGATTGCCTTGAGCACCTGTAGTGTGTCCTAGGAAGTCTAATGAGTCGGTTATGATTTGGCATTTCTGAACGTTTACAGTAATGACATGTTTTTATAGTCGTTCGAAAACAAGATCCAGGTGCTTGAGATGCGATTCTCTGTTCAGATCACGTCGGGCCCATCAATAGAGATGCTACAGGTATTCGGAGTTTGATAACGTTTTAACCAGTGGCACTTGATGTGAATCATACTCACCAAGTGAAATCAAAAGACAGAAGCGAGGAGGTTCGAAGATATATTTGATAGGCTACCAATATATCGAGGATCGTCTGATCTAATCTGACCAACGATTGCAGGGGTTGTTGAGCACGGCGTTCCCACTCGTGATCTGGTGCGGATGCATGACCGAGTGCCTTTAGCTAGGTGAGTCCATTTTAACTGTGGTGAGCATCCAATGTCGAAAACTTACAGAGCTATTTATTTCGAGGGATTCATTTACTGCTACATGCTTCTTTAAGGCATTCCGGGCTTCTTTTACGACCTTCTAGACCATTTTGGACCATGCCGATGCTAAAACACTTCTGACTTTGTATGCAGTATTCGTGCCTCCTGAACTCGAGTGCTGAGTAGAAACCAGTCCTGACGAAAAAGAGACAGAGAAGTGTTGGAAAAGTTTCAAAGTACCGCAGCTATGATAATTTATGGGACGGTGAAGCTCCTGTATAATGTTTGACTGCTATACTAAACTGTCTCTATTTTCATATAGCAGGATCAGAAGAGACTCGATCGCAGTTTTCAAATTACTTAGTGCTAAATCTTCACATGATATGCCTTAATTTTTCTTGTTTTTCAAAACAGAAAATTTATGAGGAGAGTGTAAAAAGGTTCATAAGCCCAGAACAAGTTATTTGTCTTCTGACTACTGACTTCCCTATTGAATCACCAACGAATGAAGCTCATTACCTCAACACATGAATAAAGCTCTATTTCTCGATGGTTTCTAAAGAAAGTTGTCCACCATTATCAGGACTAACACAGGTCAGCTAACCTCTTGTCCTTTCCAAAGTGAAACTGAAATCCTTAAATCCAAAGTTTACAACTCTGAACCTGAAATATTCTAGTTGGCTTATAATCCTAAATAAATTATCTGCACCAAGTAATAAGAATAGTACGCAACTTCATTGGATTATGATAATGTAAGATCATTGATGGACCTATGAACTCGAGATATTGAATGTCTTATGTAGAGTGGCAGGTTTGAGGCTTTGTTTGTACGGTTGCTACTAAGTGCAACAAATCAATCACCTCAATATGGGTGATAGTCTGTGTAATATTGCTCGATATATTACATTACTAACGGATGAAGACAGGTTCGTTCGAAAAAAAGCATTGAAGTGTGTGGAAGACTACTTGAATACTAACAGCGATAAAGAAAATACTATTTTTAGTACAGTAGCAGAAAACCTGGCAAAGACTTTAAATGATCCTGTTGAGGTCAATCGAGAACTTGCAGTGAAAGTTTTAAAGCTATCCATAGATGTAACTAATGACGTGACACCTTTGCTTGCATTATTAGTGCCTGTGCTGGTTATGCGTTTAGGACAGAAAGAAATAACAGAACATTCTGAAGAGATTCGCTACTCCACACTTAATCTCTTATATATTCTGCTGAATAGAACTGATGAGATATCTCCGTTTGTCGATGATTATATCTCAGTAATTCAAAAGACACTTGTCGATCCATATCATGAAATTAAAAAATTGTCTTGTAAAATAGCAGTGGTTTTATCACAGAGAAAGTGCCATCGATTTTATCAAATTTCGGAGTCTATTTTACTGCCCATGTTGTCAAATCTTACACATCAACATTCGAAAGTTAGATTAGAAACTGTGGTCGCTCTTGAAAAGGTTTTGCTGCACAGCCAGGGAAAGCTTGTTGAAAATGTTATCGCACCATTAACTCAAAGACTTTTTGATTCATCATCAGCAGTTAGACGAGCTGTTATTGAACTTGTGGGCTCATGGTTGTTGGATTTACCTGATCGGTATTCATATCAAACAAAGTTATTGCCTCTACTTCTCTCCGGTTTCATTGACGAATCAGATGAAATTCGTATGGTTGCTTCGAAATTGTGGCATCATATAGGTAAGTTAGGAAGGTTGATTAAACTTTGTAAGCTTTCAGGACTAAAGTTTGAAAAAGAGAACGAAGAGCAGCTGAAAGATAAACTGGATTTTGATCACGGTCCTCCATTTCACTATCCATGTGGGTGCAAACGACCAATACTGGGTAAGTTTTCCAAGTAAGTAGTATCCTTACAAAGGTGCTTGATTAATCCAAAGCTTAAACTTCATCAGTAATTTGTTGTTGTCACATTAAGTTAAAAGTCATGATGTTACGTGTTAAAACAATTTAATTTTGTACTTAATATGAATCCGAACTCATGAACTAAATTTAACGATACGATTCATTCTTTTCGATATCAACGCAAAGTTCTCCATAAGTTCATGTACTTGTTTCAGTAAAGCGGAGAGCGTCCTATTAAATTTGCTCATTCACTGACAACCTTAGTACTGAATCGAATACAGCAAATTCCATATTATGTTTGACTAATTCCACAAATCATATTATTTATGTAAACACTGATGCGGGCGTTTTCTCACTGTTTTATAATCATTCTCTAAAGAAAAACACCGAACCAAAATTTCTAATCGGGCGAAAATGGCAGGATTTACTTTTCATATTAAACTAATTGGGTAGTTGGTTAACACAAGGATTACCCATTCAAATCAAGGGTCAACGTCATATAATGTAAGGCGTATCTATTCAGGCCAGGAGTGTATCTCAACACTCTTCTCTTGAAAATGCTGATTGTCATGTGAGCACTTAAACGTTTCGTGAGCCATCAAATTTGTATTAGGGAATCACTTTTCGTTAGCCAGTAGTTGATTATTTTCTATCTTTAACGGTCATTTTACTGAAAATATCAACAACACTAATAGTACACTTACTGTAGTTTTTTCTTTAACACGTTGAGCCAAGCTACTTTATTTTCGTAATAATATGCCAAAATAAATGTTTATTGAAAGAGTATGCTTTTTTACAGGTTGTCGAGAGCTCGTCTACAGATCGGCATCCAAACTATTTCCAGGTTTATGTAAAGATCTTTCAGACTGGCAAGAAGCAACACGTTTAAAAGCAGCCAGTTTAATACCCTTATTAATATTACATCTTGAAGAATCTGCTACTCAACATACTCAACATCTTTTAACTGGTATTGCAAATGGTCTAGCTGATGCACTTAGTCGAATATCACCTGTTGGAAATATGTCTTTAATAAATATGATGCCTATAGTTTCATTTCGGAAGGAAACATCTTCGTCAAGTACAACTACTGCTGACAGAGTAGATATAATTAGTTTAGTCGTTACACATGCCACATCTCAGGTGTTTAGTTTATCTGAAGCGAACGAGGCAATTAAAATTATCAATCAATTATTTATTGCTGCTCAAATTTTGGGTTGCATGATCCCTACTAAGGTGAGTTTTTAATACGATTAGTACTTAGATTGTCCGTTTGATACTTATTTCGAAAGAATGTTTCAGGAGTACAAGATTATTTTTTAGTAGAACAGTTCAGAGACCTCGAAGACCAATCACCATATATCACTTGTTCTTTTTCGAACACCAGTCTAGTGTTCAACTCAGTTGAAGTAAAGTTCATTGACTTAGGTTTTAATCGAACTGATTTCTAGAAGTTAAAACATTCAAATATGTCCAATGTTTACTTAATTTTAATCTAATTAGTAGAGTCCACGAGATAATCCTTCGGAGAAGTGCTGATCCCTATACCACTATCCACTTTATTTGACTCATTAAAGCGGCACCTGTTAGAAAAATCAGTTTTTTTCTCATTGAATGATTACTGGCAAACGCCATTCTAAGGTGCTTTTTACCTTTTGAATAAAAATAGTCATAATTGAGCTCTCCAAAGTCGATTTTTTCTAATCGCACCATCGAAACTTTAATCCCAACCTAGTAACAACTATTTCAGCGTTGAAATCCTTCCTAATAACTTGGAAAAGCTTCAGATCATTATGTATGATGTTTAAATATTGGTTTTTATTCGTTAGTATATCAACATGAGAAAATGGTGTTTCAGTAAATAGGGAATTAGTTCTGCCTTTGATCTGCTTTTTTAAATGACTAACTCAGATATTTTGATTAAATTTACGCAAGTTTACTTATGCCTTTTAAACATAAGGTCTAATATTTGCAAATTCCAATGCTATTTATCAATCCCCCTCAATATCTGTATAATTCTAGGTAAATTAACGAACTATTCAAACAAATAGTGGAAAAAGATTTAAGTTAAACGTGGAATTGAAATTGAAGTGTATATCGATGTGTGATTTGCTTAAATGGATTGAATTACTAGGAAGATTAAAGTTCGTGTATCCTGTTTTTTTAATGGATGACCCATTTACTGTTTACAGATAATTAGATCTCATGGAAAAAGTCTCATTTATCAAAATTTATCCTAAATTTTTTAGATGTATTGCAGGAGCGTTTTTAAATCAAAAATAAGTATTCAATTAAATATATGCCTATACATTCTCATACTTGTTATGTTAGTAAACTAAAAGGATTTCATTGAACTTAAGCACTAGCCAAAATATTTTCTTATTAGCAAGTTTATACGAGAAATGAGACTACTATTCTATAAATGCATACTTCTCATAACAATGGCAACTGACGATAAACATCAGTTACTCAAACCCACTCGTAAACCATTTATGCACATTACAACCAATAAATCGATGAATATTTTCGCACCAATTTTTATGTCCTAAAATAAAAATGTTTTCTTGATTTATAATTATGAATATTTTCCGAAACGTAAGCACGGTCAAATGAGAGGAATGTACAAAGTTTTCTGCATACAAAATGTAAATTTATGGATATGTATTCCTATGGCTTCCGATTTGTCCAACAAGCAGATTATGGGAACATAAAACAAGTTCAACAGAATTCTTTAGATAACCATAAAGGCTAAATTTGTCTTGGTGTGGTAATCTGATGTCCCGGAGGGGAGCTTTTCGTCATTTGGAATTTTTTTTGTGGTCAACTAAACAGGACTATGTTCAGAAATCCGATAGTATGGTTGCTTAGTTATACGAGTATACCAAAAGTATATCGATAAAACTCACAGCTGAAAGGAATCCTCAAGCAATTTGTTCTGTTTTAACGGGAAATGGGGAGGGGTATTGTACCACCAACAGAGTTTAATCACATCAAGTACCGTAGGTATCATAAAGTTGCTGTAATTTCCGAGACTGGGTTTCCTGTTAGTGGTAAAATACTTCTTCCACTCACCATTTGAGGTAATAAACTTTGTAGGGATTCCTTTTGGCTCCTGAAATTAAACTCATGATTTGCATGTATCATGGTGTAAACTCCAGTGCTTTTTCCTTCAGAAAAATGAATAGGTCTAAAAAATTGATACTTTGTAGTTTACGCCATAGTGATTATTTAAACATTGTAAATGAAAGACTAGATATTTATTTTCTGGTATTATACTCAGCAGTTCGTATCCATAATCCAACCAGGGATTGAGTTCAAGGCCTTCAGGCCTTTCAAGGGGTGCTCACTCTTTCAACCACTAATAATTCTCAACATCATTTAGATTTTGACATCGTTCATGATTCACAGTCTTTTATTTATTGACTTAATAAAAAATCGGTTACTAATGCATTACCATCTTCGATTTGTGTTTTTATATAGCCAAGTAACTTAAGAACCATTGGTTATTCAGTTATATATATCCTATTTTTCACAATTTTCTACTTATCTATTTTTTTCTTGCATAGTTTTGGTGGCATTTACTGGAACCATGTCTTGATCGTTGTACAGAATCTGCTGCACCATCATCATTAGCTGGCCATTTACTCCTTTTATCTGGTTTACTTCATGGTAGTCCATTAAATCAATTAATAATAACTGACGAAATGGAAGAGTTAAAGCGTGACTCACCATTGAATAAGTGTTCTACTAATGTGACTAACGCTTCCACTAATTCTACCAGTACTGCTACTACTTCTGATGACAGTCATTGTATTCATGGAGATAAAACTAATGAAAATAATGATTATCAAATGAAAAAAGGTCATGTCAAGGAGAGCTATACACAAATCAATTATAGTACATTACATAAGATTATCTCTTATCTTTGTCAAAATGAATTAATCTCTGTCATATCGATTAATGCCAAAGCAGGTCTATTAGAATGTGTTCAAGTGTGTATTAAACATCTTGAAGAAGCGATTGTTTTATTAAAAAAAGAGACAGAACAACAGCAACAACAAGGGGATACTTTGGAAACTTTACAATTGAATGATGATAGCCATAAAAATATTATTCAAGCTACTTATAACGCAGCAAAATTAATAATTCAAGACAACCAGGTAAGTAAGTAGATAACACTTTTCACTGTATTATGCATGAAGTTGTACATTATATGAATGCTTACGAAACGGGAATGTCCCGGCAATTTTTTTTCATATATGGAGCCTTTAAATTATTATTCGTATGTGGATCTCGGTAAACTATATGTTATGCCAGTTTCATCAAACCCCAAACCGATTACATATTAATCCGAACAATCCAACAGTACTACCGACCTCTATAAAAGAGATACAGTTGAAAACCAGGCACTTATGTCTTTACAAGACTTAAGTTAAGTTGTTTAGGTTACCTTCTCAAGCTGATTGGTTGAGCCATTTATTACATATAACAAGTAACCACATATTCTCCCAACTAGTAACTTAAAGAGCAGCTTATATCAATCCGAGTTATCTTTGACGCTTTAGTACTGTTTGTCTGGCTTTTAAAGATTGTGTTTGCAACTCGTTGGTAAGAGCACTTTTGCTCTATGCTTGTAAAACTCGTCCGACGCTAGCCTAGGATATCCAGTGACTCGGTGTTCGATTATAATTGTCTCCGAAAGATAGCCGACATTCGGTGACAACACCACATTGGTAATACAATGTATTTGGGCACAGTGACGATAATTTAGTTAATATCACCATCTTGAAACAGTGTTCGGTGGCCCTCCGAATGCTCTAGTGCGGCCGAGGGTGGGGAGAGTTCACTCTCCCTCTCGAAATGCTCTCATGTGTCCGCGCATATACAGCCACTGTCAGGGACGTCCTAATTACTGTCTTCTCGAGGCGGGGTGTTTACGGAATTGAGGGGACGAGCAACAAATGTCTAGCGCTCTAGCCAGGTTGGTGGACACGGAGAGTCCGCCTAGGGGAGTTGGAAAACCCTGATTTCAAGCCAATAGTGCACATGAGCTCCAAGATCCTGAAGGAACAAATCGTTGGTCACCGGCTACCATGGGACTTCATCACCTAACGTTGCTTCATTGCCTTGTGGATCAGACATTCAGGTAGAAGGTTCCGGGTGAACCCTCCTAAGAAAACTATCTGCTTCGGTTTGGTCACCCGGGTAGTATCACAGCCCACACAAATCAATTGACTTGTGTGGTGCCCCTTTGTACCAATATTTCTGTGTTCAAATAAATAAATGTTCGATGGCTCAAGCATTTTTCCGAGTCCCATCCCACTGGCTCACACATCTTACACCATTTTATAACTTTGTGGTGTGTTGGTCATTTTGTGAAATGGAGCTGTAGTATGAAAGAAATCTGTATAGGACTGGGATCTGTCCGTTCATCTTGTCTTTTTTGGTCAGGTTCCTAGGGTTAGTTCAATTTTTTTGCTTAGTACTTTGTCAGACTTGGATTAGAATAGAAACCAGTTGTGATCCCGTTATAGTTTCTTTTTACCTTCGTAAAAGTGGAGAGGTAATCGCTTAACTAAAGGAAGTCGTTTTTATTTATATTTTTATTTAAACTGTATCTCCTATTATATTGATTCTTGATTATTGTACTCTCCTTCACTCATTCCTTTATAATGTCTTTTTATCTTATATGTTGCATACCTTCCTTCGTGCTCCGTCGCACCATAATTTATGTATATCAAGTAAATAAAATAAGTAACCACAAAAATCTAAAGAGTATTCTCAAAAGTATGAGATCTTAATTTACTTAGTCTACATAGAAAAAAGTTATTTACTTATTCGATAAAACTGTGGGAGGGACACTGGAAACTTATGCTGATATGGTTTGCAATTGATTGCTGCACCTAACGAGTATCCGTTGTTCTTGTAGTTAATAAATATATTTCCCTATTCTGTACCTTTTCATCCAATATCTTTTCTGCACTTTTTTTTACATATTTTACAATCCTTTACGACAATGCCTATCATTATTAGGAATATAGAAACCATTATTTCTACTTACCTCTTGTTAATTCTCCGTCACTGCTCTATTTGTTGTAATAGGGCATTTTCGATTGTGATACTGCTATAGTAGGTAGAACTCTGTCAGCCCGTTTTGAATTCAGATCATATTATTTGAAATTGCACATGAAAAACGCTGTTGTACAGTAGCTACCCACGTACACAGACACGTCACTCTACTGTAAGCTACTGTCTTCGTGTTAACAGTTAATAATACTGCTACCCAGTTGTGAGGGCGGAATAAGGCTGAATGAAGTTCGAAACTGTGACCTTGTTAGTTGAGAGCTGAAGCTCTTCAATCACTAGATAATTGGCAGTTACATACACCTTGATAAAAGCTTAATTTGTGTCTAGTCGTTCAAAGAAAACCTTTTCGTTCAGTGTCTGTCATTTCCGTTGCGTATTGCCCCGAATGTACTGTCCTAAGAGTTTTTTACCATCTTAACTTTAGATCCGTTCATGTTTGTTTGAAATAATTCTTGGATCGGGTGCAATTTGGCCAGAAAATGATTTGATTTCATCAGATTTCGGTCGTACAGTTCTAAGTTCATGTGATAAACTCATGCAATGGTTAGCAGCCTGTCACCAAGACTGTATAAATTTATCCAAACAATATCATCTCTCCACTGAGGATGAGGACTTTGAAGTAAATTCAACACCAGTTAGTCATATGGATCAACTGTTTTTCAGCTGCATGCCTAAGGTAAGTTTATTTTTTGTGCGTCGTTAAAACTCGATCACTTTTTGGTAGGTTTATTTTTATAAACTGTATTTATATACATGTATGCGTAATTCATACTACTATTTATAATATCGTTTACACATATATGCTCCTTAAGATTGTTGATAAACCCTGGTCAACCATAAAGTATATATCGAAAGAGATGACTATAAATTTTAAAAAGTTCAAAACAATATATATGAAGCGATGACCCACCGATTGTGTGAGAATTCGGTTCACCAACTCAGTGGTCCGAATCCTACTCCAACTACATGAATTTGGACAACTGCATAGTATCACTAGCCCATTTTACTAGAAATATGGCTGGAACCGAAATACTCTAATTTTTATCTGGTAAATGAGTTGATAAATATATGTTATAGGAAAACATATGCAATAAAATAATAGTTACTTATAAGTAACACTATCCGACTACGTAAAGTAAATAGCATCAGTCCTTTGTTGAAAATACATATATTTAGTGTAAATTCAAACTTCCATTTTCAGTTACATAATTTGTCGTTTTTTCTCTTGTTACTCAGTTAATTTGTAGATTAAATGAAGATTTGAAAAAATCTATTTCATGGAATCCACGTTCAGTTGGATTAGCGATACTTTCACGTTGTTTACAAATAGCTCCTGGACCGGCACTATTATTCACATTTAATAATCATGATAATAATAGTCAAACTAAAAAAGAATGTTTAACAACTGTGCTGGATCTTTTAGAACGTGGTTGTCGATTAAATTGTGCACCCGGTGGCGGTGGTGTCGACAATGGCAGTAGTAATAGTAGTCAGTTTAATAAATCACCCGGCGGTACAGATCCATTAACATTAGCTAGTGAGGCAGAACTCCGTCTACGTGGTTTAATGTTGCTTACAAAACTGACAGATAATAATCAGATTAGAGTAAGTTTGCATTATTATTATTATTATTATTATTATTATTATTATTATTATTATTATTATTATTATTATTATTATTCATTGTTTATGATAAATACTGATTGTCATCGAGGAAGCCCATCTAAAGATGAATTTATGCCAACAGAGGCTGACGATTTTACAGTTCTAAGTATTAAATGCGGGAAGTTATGAACCCTTCATATCCATTGACTATCTGATCAGTGAATAACATCATCTGAATTTTAAATTATTCAATATTAGATTTGTTTACATGGTACTAGTTATTTAAAGGTTGATGTAATTGTTGCGTAAGTTTTATTTAACAGTATTTTGGAATGGTGACTCCCTGTTTAGTGTGTCTCAACTACTAAGTCGCAGGTTTGAACCCCCTTCCAACTACTTTGTTTTAGGCAACTGGGTTTAGTTACTGACTTAATATTAGAGTGGTATCAATCATAGCCAAATATTATTACATGTACGTACCTATGTAAATTAGTTAACAATTTGAGTAGTTTATTTTTTCGGATTTTTTTATTTGAGTTGGAGTCATATTGCTTTTCAACTTTTCAACATTATTATTTCAGTTGTAAAATGGACAAGATGTTTCTACTAAATATTATTGCTCATACTACATGGTTTGTGGAAATCTGAAATTTTTCACAATATCAAATTAATCTAATTATTATCAGAATGGGTTTTGTGGAGATTTTTAGAAATTTCACAGATAGAAATCATGAGTCAGTTGAAGCTAGACCACCATTGAAAACCTGGAAGCACTGGACGGCCGTTTCGTCCTAGTATGGGACTCCTCAGCAGTGCGCATCCACGACCCCGCACCACCCGGGGCTCGAACCCAGGACCTACTGGCTTCGCGCGCGAGCACTTAACCATTAGACCACTGAGCCGGCACCCAACGGTGTTAATGTCTAACTTCAACCAATCCACGAAGTTGCGCTACCGTACACCCTTGTCTTCAGTGAGTTCCTATCTCACAACAGACCTGGTTGAACTCCACTGGTAACGACTTCTCACTAGAACTTCAGAAGTGTCTCCTGAAGTCAGTCACTAGTGAGCAGGTGATTATTATTATCAGAATGGGTTTTGTGGAGATTTTTAGAAATTTCACAGATAGAAATCATGAGTCAGTTGAAGCTAGACCACCATTGAAAACCTGGAAGCACTGGACGGCCGTTTCGTCCTAGTATGGGACTCCTCAGCAGTGCGCATCCACGACCCCGCACCACCCGGGGCTCGAACCCAGGACCTACTGGCTTCGCGCGCGAGCACTTAACCATTAGACCACTGAGCCGGCACCCAACGGTGTTAATGTCTAACTTCAACCAATCCACGAAGTTGCGCTACCGTACACCATTGTCTTCAGTGAGTTCCTATCTCACAACAGACCTGGTTGAACTCCACTGGTAACGACTTCTCACTAGAACTTCAGAAGTGTCTCCTGAAGTCAGTCACTAGTGAGCAGGTGATTATTATTATCAGAATGGGTTTTGTGGAGATTTTTAGAAATTTCACAGATAGAAATCATGAGTCAGTTGAAGCTAGACCACCATTGAAAACCTGGAAGCACTGGACGGCCGTTTCGTCCTAGCATGGGACTCCTCAGCAGTGCGCATCCACGACCCCGCACCACCCGGGGCTCGAACCCAGGACCTACTGGCTTCGCGCGCGAGCACTTAACCATTAGACCACTGAGCCGGCATCCAACGGTGTTAATGTCTAACTTCAACCAATCCACGAAGTTGCGCTACCGTACACCCTTGTCTTCAGTGAGTTCCTATCTCACAACAGACCTGGTTGAACTCCACTGGTAACGACTTCTCACTAGAACTTCAGAAGTGTCTCCTGAAGTCAGTCACTAGTGAGCAGGTGATTATTATTATCAGAATGGGTTTTGTGGAGATTTTTAGAAATTTCACAGATAGAAATCATGAGTCAGTTGAAGCTAGACCACCATTGAAAACCTGGAAGCACTGGACGGCCGTTTCGTCCTAGTATGGGACTCCTCAGCAGTGCGCATCCACGACCCCGCACCACCCGGGGCTCGAACCCAGGACCTACTGGCTTCGCGCGCGAGCACTTAACCATTAGACCACTGAGCCGGCACCCAACGGTGTTAATGTCTAACTTCAACCAATCCACGAAGTTGCGCTACCGTACACCCTTGTCTTCAGTGAGTTCCTATCTCACAACAGACCTGGTTGAACTCCACTGGTAACGACTTCTCACTAGAACTTCAGAAGTGTCTCCTGAAGTCAGTCACTAGTGAGCAGGTGATTATTATTATCAGAATGGGTTTTGTGGAGATTTTTAGAAATTTCACAGATAGAAATCATGAGTCAGTTGAAGCTAGACCACCATTGAAAACCTGGAAGCACTGGACGGCCGTTTCGTCCTAGTATGGGACTCCTCAGCAGTGCGCATCCACGACCCCGCACCACCCGGGGCTCGAACCCAGGACCTACTGGCTTCGCGCGCGAGCACTTAACCATTAGACCACTGAGCCGGCATCCAACGGTGTTAATGTCTAACTTCAACCAATCCACGAAGTTGCGCTACCGTACACCCTTGTCTTCAGTGAGTTCCTATCTCACAACAGACCTGGTTGAACTCCACTGGTAACGACTTCTCACTAGAACTTCAGAAGTGTCTCCTGAAGTCAGTCACTAGTGAGCAGGTGATTATTATTATCAGAATGGGTTTTGTGGAGATTTTTAGAAATTTCACAGATAGAAATCATGAGTCAGTTGAAGCTAGACCACCATTGAAAACCTGGAAGCACTGGACGGCCGTTTCGTCCTAGTATGGGACTCCTCAGCAGTGCGCATCCACGACCCCGCACCACCCGGGGCTCGAACCCAGGACCTACTGGCTTCGCGCGCGAGCACTTAACCATTAGACCACTGAGCCGGCACCCAACGGTGTTAATGTCTAACTTCAACCAATCCACGAAGTTGCGCTACCGTACACCCTTGTCTTCAGTGAGTTCCTATCTCACAACAGACCTGGTTGAACTCCACTGGTAACGACTTCTCACTAGAACTTCAGAAGTGTCTCCTGAAGTCAGTCACTAGTGAGCAGGTGATTATTATTATCAGAATGGGTTTTGTGGAGATTTTTAGAAATTTCACAGATAGAAATCATGAGTCAGTTGAAGCTAGACCACCATTGAAAACCTGGAAGCACTGGACGGCCGTTTCGTCCTAGTATGGGACTCCTCAGCAGTGCGCATCCACGACCCCGCACCATCCGGGGCTCGAACCCAGGACCTACTGGCTTCGCGCGCGAGCACTTAACCATTAGACCACTGAGCCGGCATCCAACGGTGTTAATGTCTAACTTCAACCAATCCACGAAGTTGCGCTACCGTACACCCTTGTCTTCAGTGAGTTCCTATCTCACAACAGACCTGGTTGAACTCCACTGGTAACGACTTCTCACTAGAACTTCAGAAGTGTCTCCTGAAGTCAGTCACTAGTGAGCAGGTGATTATTATTATCAGAATGGGTTTTGTGGAGATTTTTAGAAATTTCACAGATAGAAATCATGAGTCAGTTGAAGCTAGACCACCATTGAAAACCTGGAAGCACTGGACGGCCGTTTCGTCCTAGTATGGGACTCCTCAGCAGTGCGCATCCACGACCCCGCACCACCCGGGGCTCGAACCCAGGACCTACTGGCTTCGCGCGCGAGCACTAGTGACTGACTTCAGGAGACACTTCTGAAGTTCTAGTGAGAAGTCGTTACCAGTGGAGTTCAACCAGGTCTGTTGTGAGATAGGAACTCACTGAAGACAAGGGTGTACGGTAGCGCAACTTCGTGGATTGGTTGAAGTTAGACATTAACACCGTTGGATGCCGGCTCAGTGGTCTAATGGTTAAGTGCTCGCGCGCGAAGCCAGTAGGTCCTGGGTTCGAGCCCCGGGTGGTGCGGGGTCGTGGATGCGCACTGCTGATGAGTCCCATACTAGGACGAAACGGCCGTCCAGTGCTTCCAGGTTTTCAATGGTGGTCTAGCTTCAACTGACTCATGATTTCTATCTGTGAAATTTCTAAAAATCTCCACAAAACACATTCTGATAATAATAATCACCTGCTCACTAGTGACTGACTTCAGGAGACACTTCTGAAGTTCTAGTGAGAAGTCGTTACCAGTGGAGTTCAACCAGGTCTGTTGTGAGATAGGAACTCACTGAAGACAAGGGTGTACGGTAGCGCAACTTCGTGGATTGGTTGAAGTTAGACATTAACACCGTTGGATGCCGGCTCAGTGGTCTAATGGTTAAGTGCTCGCGCGCGAAGCCAGTAGGTCCTGGGTTCGAGCCCCGGGTGGTGCGGGGTCGTGGATGCGCACTGCTGAGGAGTCCCATACTAGGACGAAACGGCCGTCCAGTGCTTCCAGGTTTTCAATGGTGGTCTAGCTTCAACTGACTCATGATTTCAATCTGTGAAATTTCTAAAAATCTCCACAAAACCCATTCTGATAATAATAATCACCTGCTCACTAGTGACTGACTTCAGGAGACACTTCTGAAGTTCTAGTGAGAAGTCGTTACCAGTGGAGTTCAACCAGGTCTGTTGTGAGATAGGAACTCACTGAAGACAAGGGTGTACGGTAGCGCAACTTCGTGGATTGGTTGAAGTTAGACATTAACACCGTTGGATGCCGGCTCAGTGGTCTAATGGTTAAGTGCTCGCGCGCGAAGCCAGTAGGTCCTGGGTTCGAGCCCCGGGTGGTGCGGGGTCGTGGATGCGCACTGCTGAGGAGTCCCATACTAGGACGAAACGGCCGTCCAGTGCTTCCAGGTTTTCAATGGTGGTCTAGCTTCAACTGACTCATGATTTCTATCTGTGTAATCTAATTATGTTTCGTCTTACAAACGGATTAGACTGATGCTGAAGGTGCACTTCACAACTGGAGAAACGGCTTCGCAAAAGTTTAATACAGTCTTTCTTCGAGATCCCGATAAGCTCAATGAATTCAAGAGAGCTCTCAGCAACAAGTTCTAAGGTTCAAAAGACCTACTCAAAAAAGAGGAAACTAATACGGAGAATAACTGGGAACGAGCACTAGCTTCAACGTGCCAGGAGGTGCTGGGCCTCAAGAAGCATCATTATAAAGAATGTATCTCGATCGAAACTCTGGGTACGATTCAGGGAAGAATGAACAAGAAGACACCAATTAATAACGGTTGAACAAGAGTGGAGAAAGTGAAAAAAACATACTCAGAATATTCAAAAGCAAACATGACAGTGAAGAGGAACATTAGAGCTGACAAGCTAAAATACGTCGAAGATCTATCAATGGCAACCGGAAAAGCTGCAAGAGAAGGAAATATACGACAACAATATGATACAACGAAAAAACAAGCAGGGAAATATAGAAAACTAGAGAGACCGGTCAAGAACAAAAAAGGCAAGCCAACCACTAAGATTCAAGAACAGAGGAACAGGTGAATAGAACACTCTGAAGAACTCTTGAATAGACCAGCCCCACTAAACCCATCGAACATCGGGGCAGCACCTACAAATCAATGGCAGGCACCATAAGAACGAGTAGCAATTGGAAATGAGAAAGGAGATGGAAAGGAGATCTGAAGACAGAGTTGGTTGGAAAATTTTGGTCAGCACCCTACGCTGCATCCAAATTTTTAATCCACATTAGTAAGAATAGGTTTTTAACCGTCCTCTATTCTTTAAATCTTTGATAGGTGGGTGCCTTAATAACTAAACAATTATCACTTCAATTCAATTATCTCATGGTCTACGTCACGAACTGACACTAGACAACTATTAAAAACTAAAATGTCCTGAACAGCTGTAATATCTTAGTATAAGACTCTTTAGCAGTGTACATTCATGACCTCACCTTGGATCAATCCTAGGAACTTCATTTAGTGCATTTGACGCTTAACTTCCAAACCACTAAGTTGACATCCACTGGTACAATTCCATCTTCAGTTAACTCACGATATTTGACAGTTTATTTTTTAAAATAACATTGTCACATATCTGACACTTGAATCAATTTAAACCTTTTTATCTTTTTCTTTTTAAATTTTAACTTTCCAGAAAGTATTATCATCTCCAAAATATTTGAACTATTGTTTTTCTAAATTAATTTTACCTGTATGTGTTTGGAGAGCTGGTCGTACATCAGAAGCCATGCGAAAAGCAGCTATTACAAGTTATTTAGCATTATTAGCTAGTGCTGTATCAATGCATCATTTATCTGAAATTGTTTTGAATTTACGAACTAACAGTGAAATCAACATAGATAATTGGCTTTTAACTAACAACATTGAATCTATGCATGAGATTATGAAAGAGTTAACAAATAGAGAGGAAGTTTGTGATATTAATAATACTAATTGTAAGTTAATTAACCTTTGTACACTATCATAATAGGTGTATGGAATTTGTTTAATTTTCTAGTCCATCAACCGAAAGATGAGTTTACTGCTCAGGAGTTCTCTCTATTCTACTTTATGGGTATGAACCATGCCCATTTCTAATAGAGGATATTTGTAGGTTACTAGTATTCACTCATAGGTGTCTTCGAAACATCGCTCGTGTATTTTGGGGTCACTGAGTGGGCAGCGCTGAGGTTACGTACAAAGTACTAGGTAAAGAAGGCAAATTTGTTGGTGAGGTAGTGAACCTCCATCAACTGAGGTGTTTGTGACGTATGTGCTTATACCCAACCGCCGCCTACCTTGATGGGAAGTGTTGTTTGGTGTAGGAGTAGACTGGAAAAAAGCTATAGTGACGAAAACCAAGACGACACCACTCCATGAAATGACTGACAATTCGATTGAGCTATGTAATTAGATGGAGACTATCTATTATAATTTGTAGCATTGTGCCCTTTCAATATATAACGTAATGATACCGCCAATTAGAGAACAGCGACTTATCAACCGGACCAATGACACATAAACCCGTACGAGCAGTCTAGATTCCTTATCGGTTCTTCTTCCTGATATTATTACCATGCCCACCACTTTACGATTTGTCTCGATAATTTTATCTAGATATGTAGTGTAACAACTTGTACGTGTGCACATGCGTCAGATTTTACATTGATCCTGATTAACTGAACTTACATCACGGACAACCATTACAAACCAAGAAACACTAGATAGCTTATTTATCTTAATACGAGACAAGTATTCATTCTTATCAACCTATTCATCATCTTTGTCTAGTACTCTGAGTCTTACTTAAACTGACCACTCGACGTTCCTAACATACACGACCCATTGATTTAAAACACCGGTTATCAAATTACTAGTAGCTTACATATGTTTTCTACTTCTCAAGATCATGTTTGACAGCCGTAAAAGATTGACTAATACATGTTTTGTAGTGGATGTCTCATTTGTGAATTGTAAAGCGATTAAAATCCGGAAGAGATTTACATAGAAACTATTTACTATGGTGAAAATTGACTTTTTTTTGAAATCATTGTTTTATATTTTATTACTAGATGTGACGACTGAATGTTTCTAATGACGGTATAAATAACGTGGAGTACAAATATTGTGTTATCAAAGAATACTTTGATAGGAAGAGACGATTTGTATATCAAAATTGTATACTTAATTGCTTTTTCGCAGAGGGTTTTTTTAAATAAAATTGTGAGAACGAAAGGCGAATGTTCGGCGCTTTAACCGGGTTGGTGGATATAGAGAATCCACCTAGGGAGGTCGGGAAATCCTGATTCTAAAACAATTATGCATATGGGCCCCAGGGTCCTGAGGGAACAAAAGGCGTATGAACCAATTGTTGGTCGCCGGCTACCATGGGACTGCATCTCCTAACGTTGCTCCACTGCCTTGTGGATTAGACCTTTAGGTTGAAGGCTTTGGGTGTGATCCCCTAAGAAAGTCACCTGCTTCGGTTTGCACACCTCTGCAGTATCACAGCCCACACACAAAGCAATTGACTTGTGTGGCGTCTATGTATTCGATGCCCTTTTGTACCAATATTTATATGTTTAAATAAATAAATAAATGTGAGGTATCAGTTCAGTAATTAATATCACATATCATCGATTTCATTTAGGGTTGCTCACAACAGCGATTACATTCTTCTAATGTAATCCTGCTTTTACCAGCCTGACACCTTGAGTTAGGCAATGGCCTTCATATATACCTTTCACAAATCTTCTTCAACAGGTACAACTCTATAACCTCTTTAATTGATTGATCTGTTACTTGTGTAGATCTTTACTTCCAACTTGTATAAAGATGTCGTGCTCACCACTCGACCTGTAAATTATGTGTTCGATCTTGTGTGTGCTAGTCTTTAGTTCCCTCAACTGATATCGTCAGTCCGTAGTGTGAACTGTACTTAATTCATTGATTGTAATCACTTTATATATTTTTTCTCACAATTCTATTTATATAATTATTCACAGCTAACAATGAAATACAATCCTTTCCAAAATATAGTAATCTACCAAGTTTATCTGGCTCCTTGTTATCTTTGATGTTGGCACGTTTAGGCTCATTATTAGATGATGATTTGGAAGGGACCAGACGTTTAGCTTGTCTTTGTTTGACAATATTCTTTAATGGTCTTCTTATACCTTCACCACCAATATCACCGGCATCTTCATCACCGATGGAGTTATCTAACGGTAATCAAAATCATTATGAAGGAAATCGAGTTGTAGATTTTCTCAATTCACCTACATGGATTCAACCGCTTACTACTACTATTACTAATACTGTTAGCAGTAGTAATCATGAATTGGTCAAAGAACATAATGTATTATTGCCTTATTGTCCACTGGCCAATTCATTTGGTGATCAAGTCTATCGTTTCTATGGTAATTTTATTAAGCGTCTTAATGATTCGAAAGATCAAGTAAGTTCTACTTTCCCATTACTGACCTTTTTGACTATTATTATTATTATTATTAATTAGTGTATTAACAATAATAAGATTTACCTCGTAGTTAAATACCAATTTAGTCAGATGAATAGTTCCATATATTAGAAAAAAATAATTAATCATATAGTTACATGAACGGCTCACTTAGACTTCGTTCTACCTATTGCTAATACAATTTTCAGATTCTGTTTTTACAATTTCATTAGTGTAATAATATTGTAAATCAAGTTTTACTATAATTCTACCATTTAGTAACTTGCGGACATAATATTTCACGGGAATATTCCCAATTCAGGGTGAAAATTGGAAGGAAACAAAAATATATATGTTAAAATCCGAGCGTCAAAAGATACAGTGGCAAATTATTTCTATGAGTTACTATGGGATAAACATGAAAATCTGATAACTTAAGTCCATCTGTAGGCGCTAACCAGTTGCATAATGGACTAATCAGCGCTTTTCATCTTGATCTTAGGCATACAGTACTCGGAATTCTATTCATCGTAGACTAGTTCCATTTGGGGTATGACTAAAATTCATGGAGCACTAGACTGCCGTTACATCCTAGTATGCGACTCCCCAGCAGTGCTCACGCGATGTCGAACTGGGGATCGAAACACGAACTTTAGGTCTCGTGGTCCAGCGGTGCAATTTCAAATTTAATCAATTTGTGATTTAGTTCAACGATCATACACTACCATAGGTACCTTTTCTGAACATCATTTGTCACGAATTCTCTCTAGAACTTCATTAGCATCTTGAAGTTACTAGTGAGCTAAGTGTTATAGTTTAGTTTTTAGTTTAAACAGTGCTATTGCCAAATTATGATGAAAAATTCTGTTATTTCGTGGATAAATTTTCTCCTTGTATCTTGGGTTTGGAGACTGCTACATGTATATTAAGGCGTAAACATCTGAATACTTTCATTTTTTGAACCAAGTAGCTGGTTGAACTCACGAATAAGAAGCTTGTTTTTTTTTGACATTGGAATCGGTCATCTCACGACACAATTTCATAGATATTTTACAGTTATACCTTGTTGCTGTCAACAGTAATTATATATATATATATATATGGGGTTGTGGTGACTGTTGAGTTTTTGATTGAAATCATGAATCGATCATTGTTAGGCCATCATCGAAAATCTGGAAACACTGAACGGCCGTTTCGTCCTAGTCTGGGACTCCTCAGCAGTGCTCATCCACGATCCTACACACGGGATTCAAACTTAAGACCTTCACTCTCGCTTGCGAACGCTTGACCACTATATGATTGTTTATTTCGATTTCTGCATACACTATGGTACTGAAAGATTATGAAGGAGGCATATAATTTTGTGTCAGTCAGTGATCTAGACACTTGTATTTGGACACGGAGTTCAAGTAATTCGAATTACGGTTACAATTTTTATGTTGCCTGTTATACCTCAAAACTCGATACTTAGTTGTTTACTTGATCTCCGAGTTCCCTACAGATATGATTATAGGCTTCGATCAATCCGTTGGTAATTGTTTGTAATACATATCTCGCATCATCGGTTACCATAATGGGTTTTTTAAAATAGAATTAGAGTAAAATAGCTAGGAATGGATGGCTAAAACGATAATGCGGCACCAAATCATTATATCATTGGATCCCAATCTGAGCCATGTTAGACTTTCTGCTTGAGGTTCTCTCGTTAGTAGTAGTTGTTAGTAAGATCGAGTTTTGAATTTCGTATTCTGAGCCATCTCAAGTCGAAGTACGATGATTGGTTGATTTTCAATCAATCAGTGCTACTGAATAATTCGAGAGCCAGTAAATTCTTATGTGAATCTTGTATAATTTCTGTCTTCCTTGTATGGGTTTTGTGGAATATATCTGCGCTGTCAATCCGTGTTCTAACTTGGGAGAAGTGAAGTGAATTATTGTGTCTGTGGAATGCTAAATAATAAAAGATTCATAACAGCAATTTATATTTTTGAGACTTTTAGTAAAATGTATGACGATCAATTACAATGATAAATTTATATTTATTCCTTGTGTTTATCGAAATTTTGATCCTAGTTTCATGTTATTCATCAAATTCATTCGTTCTCTGTGAATTATATTTCATACGTTTAGTTTCGCACTATCGTCATGGTTTATGTTATTATTTCAATTCATCCTCTTTCCAACCTGCTTCCTTCTTTTTAATTGTTTTCATGATGTAAGATTGGTGAATTGGATCGATTTAGTTTTGTTCTGTCTATGACTGACTAGTATCACTGCTCACTCTTTGACCCAATACATTGGCTTGTTCGTGTAGTGTAACGGATCCGTCACGCTAGAATAATTATAACCATTCTGACTCGTTATACCTATTTACTAGCTGCAACTTCATGTAATTGGTTTCAAGACACTCTCTAAATGTAAGAGCTATTGATACTACCTACGTTTTGAAAATGAATTTGGTAGTGTAGTATTCGAATCTGGAACGTATTGGTTGATAATCAAGCACTTTAATTAATAAAGCATTGCTTGTTCACTCGTACGGAGATCCGATCTTAGGTATGTTATGTTTAAGTAGTCTGATTTATCCACTCGAAATCAGCTTTAATGTCAAGTATGTTGGAGAGTCTAACGAAATGATTGAATTATGCTCAAAATTCCAATCTGTAAATCGGTAATATTATTTCAAAATAGATGTAAAATATTTACAAACTTCAATTCTTTATATGTCTGTAGTGTTCGTACGCTGCAATGTATGTAATCGAGAGGGTGATTCTTCCTGGGATAGATGTATAAAGATTATTTACAAACATATCGTAATCCACATATCAGCTATTAGCTGTGTCGAAATTTACAGTAGCTGTCAATAATCGGAACTGTGACTAAAAACACAAAACTTGGAAGCTGTTACATCTGAAAAATACTCAAAGAATGTTTTACATGTAAATAAATTATCACTTTTTTGTAATAAATACGGAGAATATTGCAGATTCATTCCAACAATTCGTAATGATGATACACAGCAACCCAGACACATTGTATATCATGTCGCAAACTTGATCGAATTAGATATTACTTACTGAATTTTAATAAGTAGTACAATTTAGCAAGCAAACTTTATAGGGCACGAAAGCAATAAGTATCACAACTATCAAGCAGTACTAACATATGGTTCGTTCCGTCTTTTTTCTTTCTTTCCGGATTTATAACTAGATACGATTACTTATCTGTGAAACAATCAATGCATGGATTCGTCTACTGATTCCAATGTTAACATCATCATCATCAACAACCAGTAAAACATCTCAGCAGTTAAATCCAGTTTATACTGCTGTTATAGAAGATTTCCTAAATAACCTTATTATTCATTTAGATGATCCTAATTCACGAATACGTGCCAGTGTATCACGTGTTCTCTTGAGAATCAATCAATTCGCTCCAGATTTGGTGATTAAAGTTTTAAACAAAGCTAAATTATGTCATCGTTCATCTCAATTATGTGATAAACTATTAGAATTTTGTCATTCACATTCTCAGTAACGTTTACAAAAAAAATATTATCCATAAAATGACCGAGGTAAATGAGGAACAAGTGATTTTACGATTGAAATTGTGAAATGGTAACAGCTACATTTTTGGATAATCTATACTCCCACATATCTAATTAAGTTTTACACTCCTGTTGGCAAAATCTTTTTCTAATTAACTTTTGTTTTTATTGGTTAATCTTTGTGTTATAACATTTTAATATAAAATGTACAATTTATGACAATAGGTCACATATATTTTTTATTTATTTATGTGAAATGACAAGTGAATAAATGAAACTACTACTGAGAATGTTGTTCTTTTTTTTTAGATTATCGGGTGATCAGTTTTTCACCTTTAAATCATATATACATGAATTGTAGTTTTTGCGCTAACTGACAAATATACACACAAAGATTTGTGTATGTGTTCGCTTTTGTATGTATTTAATGGGTGCTTCTTGGTGTCATGTAATTTTTTTTTTACGGTTACTAAGGGAATCCAGTAAAGATGTACTTTACCGATGATTTTCAACGAACAATTAAAATAATAAAAGCTGATTTTAGATATTAAATACAAATTAAAAATCCCATTATGAACAGTTTATCGTTGGAAATCATGTTTTTGATTAGATTTTGAATTTTTGATGGATTGAATGAAGAGTTATTTTCTGTGTAACGAGTTGTTGAGTTTAGAAGGTAGATGTTAAGATTGAATTGTTAGAGTTAGGCGTATTAGGATTTTAAAACGTTAAAGATACTAGGATTTATAGCCCCCAATATATGGATAATCACCCCGTAATAGGTTTATTAATCATCTTTAATCCCTATATCATGTTTCTTTAAAAATAAAGAGCTCTTTCATAAAAGCTGTATTCCGATTGATTAGGCCTTAGATCAGTTTTGAAATCCCTCTTAGCTGTCAGTGTGTCATACATTTACCTATAATGTATTAGATTTATTGGTATGGTGGAGAAGATTTGTAGCTCAGGTGGATGATTTTGGTGCGATTTCCAAATGTTCTGATGTGAGCATCCTTTGTAGCTTTATCTTTTGGTATTTAAAAGCTTTTTTAAACTTCCATTCGACTTTTAGTTCGTATTCTAGTGATAAAGTTTATTGTAAATAATGTGCAATGTTGTAACCGAGCGACCAAATGCTGGTTTGCTCATTCAACTCTGCACCATATTTGGGGTTTAAATGTTTTCAAAGTATTGCTAGTGGTTAGATTTCTAAACTTTCAGCCACTAAGTCTTGGGTATAAACTCTGCAACATCTCCTTCGGTCAGAGTGATCGGCATTGTATTAGTATCCAAACACTTAGTTAATTTATAAGTTATAGACTTTAGAGTACAAGTCAAAAAATTTAAACCATGGCCCCGCCCCATACAATGCAGGCCAGCACAAGTCTTGAATTGTAAAAAGACTAGGTACAACGAAACCAACACGACGTCAGTTCATGAAGTTATTGGCTGCTGACTGGTGCAGAACGACGACGTGATTAAATGTTGGTAACGTTAGCATAACACCAAAGAGGGTTGCAATGATAGTAACATATGCCTTCTTAACTTTCCAAATTTAACGTTTCAATATTATTCCACTCATTAAATTCTTCGTTATTTTGTTTTCGAACCGTATTCTTTGCTTAGTTTGTTCACGGTAATTGACACTACGATTATTTTGATTTCTTTCCTATTCACCATGTTAGTTTTAACTCGCTATGATGTGGTGTTGTGATTTTAATAGATTTGTATCTGTCTCAAATCGTTGTTTGTTCACCATTTGAGACTGAATTTTTTCTGTTGTTTGATGTCTAATCATATTAATCAAAGCGAAGTGAGTTGAACGGATATTCATCTGTCACCTAACGAGCGATTGTGGTACTCCTATATGCGTAAAAATCACTATACATAACCTCATTGATCGAGTAACATTTTTAGTTAGTCATAGTCTCTGTGGTGTATTCATGGAGTAATGATACAACTTGTCTCCTGAATTCCAGTTGGAACCACAGATCGTGTGATTCAAAGTCTTATGTTTTTAGTACTTACTCATACATACACAAAAAGTACCGTCCAATATGTATACACATTTCAAACTCGCTAACATTTTAGTGTCACGTTAAACTGTAATTCATATTATTTGCACGCAAATCAATTGTTTGAAACCTTATTCAACACCATCAAAACAGTCAATAAAATGTCGCTTTTACAATTTAATTGATAATAGTTGGGACTATCCTCTTATATTTTGACTGAGATTCGATCAGAATTATTTGGCGCATATGGAAACAAGTTTATGTAGACTGAGTGGAATCCAGGACTCCCATTTCGTCTTATTTGAGACTCGTCAGCTGAATTTGCCTGAATCCCAGCGTTGATATCCACTCTGTGATCCGGACGCAACACAAGTGAGTAGCTGTCTGGATTCAGTCACTAGATAGATGACACGTTGGCGTCTAGAGACATAAGGAATGTGTTTGTATCCTAGAATAGACACTAACTCGGATAGAGTTACCTCCAGCTGACGAGTCTATGATCAAACAAAACTCGCATCCTGCGTTTTGTTGTTGGCCACATTCCATCTATTTTATGTAGCGATATCTTCAATATTTGATTGAAAATATACGGTACTCTAAACTGAAAAAGTTCTTCAAATCTAATGAATATCACTGTAACTATTCAAAAACAACTAAGCGGAACTTTCCACCAAATGAGAAACAATTGTTACTAAAACGATGAATTGTACTCTATGGTAAATTGAGTCTGTTTAAGAAATCTAATAATATTGTACTCATATCGAGTATTATATTGATTAGGTTCTGAGTTTACTTGAACCGATGCTTTAATATTCCTTTCATTTCTATATAATTAATAATAAGTATCATAATTGCCGAACAGGCTGATGACTCAGTAGCTTGAAGACAAATGCTGTTGTTCATAGCTACAGGTTAGGGGTTTTAGTTTCATTTTGCATAGTAATAACACGGATGCATCGACATATGATTAATGAGTTTTGAATAAGACTGAAGTTATTATTATTTGACTACTGTTCAAAATAATTATTATTCTATACTATTTTGAAATGTGTTAAATTTTAGTCAAGAACTTTTCGATTTCATCTTCCGTCGTAAAACACATTTCTTGATGCAGTGAGTTACTCATATAGATAAAAACCAATAGCATGGAAGATGTTCGCTTGAAAATATTGAAAAAAATATCAAAGGATTTTTAGAAACTCAATATATTCAAGTTGACCAATGATCGATAAACCAAACTGTATTCATACCTTTTAATAAGTAACCATTCAGGACACTGCAAAATAGATTATTATGTCATCCTATTACAATAAACATCAAGACGTCTGTAGTATGAGTAATTGTTGACACGTGCCAAATAATAAAGCCTAATTAGCTGCAGTATAGGTTCTTCAGTAAGAAACTGTACAAATATGGAACTACCAGTGTGATAACTTTAAAAATCATGACTAGCTTTCACATAATTTTCAATGTTGAATAGAAACAGTTTAGATAGGGGATTTACATTTAAAGTAAATTAGTTGGTAAGAAAAGATATTTTATTCACCAAAAATTTTCCTCATACACTCACGTGACTTGTATTAACTTTAGGACAGATAAACTATTCTAATCTTCCTGCTTGTCCTATCATCTATATGTTTGACCATGCCAATTACTAACGTGTAACATTGGTTAGTGATTTATACAAGTGTGTATGTTAGTACTTATGTGTCTGTATACGTACTTGTTTCTCCGTCATACTCACAGAGTTAACTATTTCTTCCACTTCAGTTCACGTGCACTTCATCTCGCCTCTTATTGTTCGTTAACATTATCAAATGTTTGAAATATATGTTCCTCAAATACTTGTACATTAGACTACTCATATCTAAGTTGCAATTAACAAGATATGTCTACAGAATATATACGAAGTAAATAGGATGTTTATTTCATTAACACCAATATCATTTGATCATATGAAGTCAGATCCAAGATCAATAAACATTCACGATGTCATAATAAATATATTTTTTGTTATATCCCAATGAGTAGAAAAATTGTATTTCTGACATTCCGTGACTTGATGTAAACCACAAGTTTAAATAGTACTACGGTAGACATCAACATTTATTTCTGATATGACATACAGAAGTGACAGATTATTGGTTACTTCGTGACCCTGACTAAACCTCTGTTGCTTGATTGAATATTTAATTTATTAACAACAAGTGTGGCGCATTTTCTAAGGTCCTGCTGAAGCCTACAACGGATTTAAATCATTTCAAATGTCAAATTGTATCATCTACAAGGTTTGTGACTTGTGATAATTATTCCTAGTGTGTCAATTGTCAACGAATATAGGTAATTTCCGATTGATATTTACTGAATTGAAGCAATTTAGTGCCCAATCGCGTGTGATTTCTTTGTTTAAACGGTTTTTGATAGATAGTAATGTGATTCTAGACTCAATATCCACTACCAACATCGAATTAAAGACTGATTTGAGAAAATTTATCATTTTTATGTTTTTGTTACATGAACTTCTATTGGTTATCTTCTACAGTTGAACAAATCTATCTATACCCAAATTTACACTTTACAATTCTTTTATCTGTGTACAGAGGCATGAAAACAAAACTAATATGGTTCCTACTAACAATATACCACATACGTTAAAACAATCACTATCAGCCAATATGAAACAAGATCCATTATACATTGATTATCATATGTTAGCTGATATTTTACCAAAACCGCCCGAATTACCTATACCAAATGAACCGAATTTTATTCCAAATGAATTATATGATTTGACAATCAGTAAATATCACAATGATATGAAACGTTGCATCGATGTTTATTCACAGGTAAAATTAGATCGCTCTCAGTGAATGTAGTTTGTATTAATGGTTTTGTAAAATTAAAAGTAAACAAAAACAGTTTAATGTAATTTTAAAGAAGATGAATTTCTTTTCTTGTTTTTTAATTGTGTGATAGAGTTACTTATAATAGGAGTAGATGATTATTGTGGCCGTTTATTGATTTACTTTCTCTATTTCGCTTATAGGCACAGTGACCTACTATACCAACGATACAGTAACCAATAAATAACAACCGAGACCTTAACACTTATTAGTCCTAGAGCTTATTCCAACCCAGTATATAATCAGAAAGCGAAGTTAGCAAATATATATCTTCTCTATGATGCCCCATTTCATTATAACTCAAGTACTCAAACATGAGTTAACGGACCATAGCTTACGCTAAATATCAAATTATATCTTACATACACTC